GTATACAGTGACAAACTGGGGCCTGCTATATACTATCACTGAGACTCTGTGTCAGTCTGTCTGTCTGGAGACGGGGTGTGCAGTATACGGTGACAAGCTGGGGCCTGCTATATACTAACATCACTGGAATTTCGTGATCAATAAACACTGCGAGCAATAACACATTTCATAGAAAGATGGGGGCTGCTAACAGGAATTCTGACACAGCAATCCAATAAATGCTGAACAGAACCAAACTAAATCTGCCGAGCCGAACTGCGTCTGTAACATACCTGGAATTCTTTATAGATCAGTTTTTTATTCTTTGTTTTCTTAATCGGATTTTAATTCAGTTTATAGAACAGCCCTGTAATATGCAAACTGTCAGGAATTCAAAAGGAATTTCGAATATATTTATTAAAACAATCAAAATAGAGCACATATAAACACAAATATTTGCTTTTATATTTTGATTCTTTTTTACCTTGTTTTGTAGTAATAAAATGTAGTTGTATTTTATATTTATACCATTTGCACAGTTTTTTTCCTGGTTTCCTGCTTCCATTGCGTCCGTGGTGGGAATCGAACCACCAAAGCTCTTCACGCTCAGAGCAGACACATGCTCTGGAATTTGTGAGTTGAATACTTTTATTATATTGTATGTACCATAAGACATATTGCACTATTGGTTGCTTTTCTCTGTATTTCATATACCGATGCAATTGGAGGTCCTCTGCTTTCCCTGATTAAAGAATATCCTTAGACGGAGATTATGCCGTAGACGCTGAATATTCGTGAGCATTTACTAGCTCCAAAAAGTGTTAGTGTGTTTTTTAAATCTTTTAAACCTCTATATTATATTTTCATTTCGCACTACTATCTGTTTTTATATTGTTGTTTGTTAAGCTTGGTATTGTTCTATATATCAATACCCCTACAAACTAAATGTATGTATATGTGTAGGTATAATTACGTATTAAATGGTCTGCAGTGTTTTTATTTTTATCTATTTTTTTTCCTGATCGCGGTTAATCATCCTTACGATATATTATTTTCACAAGGTGTGGAGAATCCTTGTGTGATGTACTGCTGTCCCCTTTATCAAATAGTGAATGCCTTTAACTATTAATTTGCAATAAGTTTGAAACATGTTTATCCCCACCAATATTCCTGCAAAGGATGAACAAAGTAAAAACAAAAATTAATTTTAAATGCATAAATTTATATCATTTAAAATGTTTCAATATCCTTGTATCTTTTTATTAAAACAATTTCTATAGAAAATAAATACTTAAATACTTTACATAGGGCTCAATATAAAATTCTGGTGCTTGCTTTCAAATCTCTACATAATGCTGCTCCCACCTATCTATCCTCCCTAATACACAAGTATGTCCCGTCTAGGCCCCTACGCTCTGCCAAAGACCTACGTCTATCCTCTGTCCGTACTCCCACCTCCGATGCTTTCAAGATTTCTCGAGGGCTGCACCGTTTCTGTGGAACTCGTTCCCTCCTCCGTTAGATGCTCACCCAGTCTCCACTCCTTCAAAAAAATCATTAAAAACCCACTTCTTCATAAAAGCGTATCAATTAAACTGTTAATAGCTCCCGACTGATTCCTCTCCTACAACTGTCATATAAAAACCCACTAAGTCTTCAGTGAATACTATTCTACCAATCTACTTCCCAAATACTTCCCTTACTTCTTGTGCCACTTAACCCCACTCCCTCTAACATGTAAACTCACTGAGCAGGCCCTCAATCCCTCTGTTGCACTCTAACATATGACTCACTGGGCCCTCAATCCTGTTGCTGTCCTCCTCTAACGCTATGACTCACAGGCAGGGGCCAATCCACTCCATTGCCACTCCTCTAACAAACTCACTGAACGGGCCTCAATCCTCTGTTGCTGTGATACTGCCCCTCTAATAACATCACTGGGATTACATAATCCTCTTTCATTGCTGTGTCCTTACTCCACTCTAACAATCTCACTGAACGGACCACTCAATCCACTCTGTTGCACTAACAAACTCACTGAACAGACATCCACTCTGTTGCTGTACAATGCCCCCACTCCTCTAACATATGAAACTCTCACTGAGCCAGGACCTCAATCCTCTGTTACTGTGTCCTTTTTACTCCCTCTACAACATGGCTCATGGGCCTCAATCCCTCTGTTACTGTGTCACTATACCTCCACTCCCTCTAACATGTAAACTCACTGAGCAGGGCCCTCAATCCCTCTGTTACTGTGTCACTATACCCCACTCCCTCTAACATGTAAACTCACTGAGCAGGCCCTCAATCCCCTTGTTACTGTGTCACTATACCCCACTCCCTCTAACATGTAAACTCACACTGAGCAGGCCCTCAATCCCTCTGTTACTGTCACTATACCCCACTCCCTCTAACATGTAAACTCACTGAGCAGGCCTTCAATCCCTCTGTTACTGTGTCACTATACCCCACTCCCTCTAACATGTAACCTCACTGAGCAGGCCCTCAATCCCTCTGTCACTGTGTCACTATACCCCACTCCCTCTAACATGTAAACTCACTGAGCAGGGGCCCCTCAATCCCTCTGTTACTGTCACTATACCCCACTCCCTCTAACATGTAAACTCACTGGGCAGGGCCCTCAATCCCGCTGTTACTGTGTCACTATACCCCACTCCCTCTAACATGTAAACTCACTGAGCAGGGCCCTCAATCCCTCTGTTACTGTGTCACTATACCCCACTCCCTCTAACGTGTAAACTCACTGAGCAGCCCTCAATCCCTCTGTTACTGTGTCACTATACCCCACTCCCTCTAACATGTAAACTCACTGAGCAGGCCCTCAATCCCTCTGTTACTGTGTCACTATACCCCACTCCCTCTAACATGTAAACTCACTGGAGCAGACTCCTCAATCCTCTTGCTACTGTCACTATACCCCACTCCCTCTAACATGTAAACTCACTGAGCAGGGCCCTCAATCCCTCTGTTACTGTGTCACTATACCCCACTCCCTCTAACGTGTAAACTCACTGAGCAGGCCCTCAATCCCTCTGTTACTGTGTCACTATACCCCACTCCCTCTAACATGTAAACTCACTGAGCAGGCCCTCAATCCCTCTGTTACTGTGTCACTATACCCCACTCCCTCTAACATGTAAGCTCACTGAGCAGGGACCTCAATCCCTCTGTTACTGTGTCACTATACCCCACTCCCTCTAACATGTAAACTCACTGAGCAGGCCCTCAATCCCTCTGCTACTGTGTCACTATACCTCACTCCCTCTAACATGTAAACTCACTGAGTAGGCCCTCAATCCCTCTGTTACCAGCCACTATACTCCCACTCCTGTCATGTAACCCCACTGAGCAGACCTCAATCCCTCTGTTACTGTGCCTACTATGTACCCCACTCCCTCTAACATGTAACCTCACTGAGCAGACCTCAATCCCTCTGCTGCTGTGTCACTATACCCCACTCCCTCTAACATGTAAGCTCACTGAGCAGGACCCTCAATCCCTCTGTTACTGTGTCACTATACCCCACTCCCTCTAACACGTAAACTCACTGAGCAGGCCCTCAATCCCTCTGTTACTGTGTCACAATACCCCACTCCCTCTAACATGTAAACTCACTGAGCAGGCCCTCAATCCCTCTGTTACTGTCACTATACCCCACTCCCTCTAACATGTAAACTCACTGAGCAGGGCCTCAATCCCTTTGTTACTGTGTCACTATACCCCACTCCCTCTAACATGTAACCTCACTGAGCAGGGCCCTCAATCCCTTTGTTACTGTGTCACTATACCCCACTCCCTCTAACATGTAAACTCACTGTGCAGGACCCTCAATCCTCTTGCCACTGTGTCACCACTCCCACTCCCCATAAACTCCCCACTGGAGCAGAGCCCTCAATCCTCTGCTACTGTGTGTCACTATACCCCACTCCCTCACATGTAAACCACCGAGCAGGCCCTCAATCCTCTGTTACTGTGCTACCATACCTCACCTCTACCATGTAAACTTCACTGGAGCAGGCCTCACCGCTCTGTTACTGCTCACTATACTTCCCACTCCCTCCCACATGTAAAACTCACTGAGCAGGCCCTCAATCCCTCTCTGTTACTGTGTCACTATACCCCACCCTCCCAACATGTAAACTCACTGAGCAGGGGCCTCAACTCCTCTGCTACTGCCTCTACTATACCCCACTCCCTCTAACATGTAAACTCACTGAGCAGGACCTTCAATCCCTCTGTTACTGTGTCACTATACCCCACTCTCTCTAACATGTAAACTCACTGAGCAGGCCCTCAATCCCTCTGTTACCGTGTCACTATACCCCACTCCCTCTAACATGTAAACTCACTGAGCAGGCCCTCAATCCCTCTGTTACTGTGTAACTATACCCCACTCCCTCTAACATGTAAACTCACTGAGCAGGCCCTCAATCCCTCTGTTACTGTGTCACTATACCCCACTCCCTCTAACATGTAAACTCACTGAGCAGGCCCTCAATCCCTCTGTTACTGTGTCACTATACCCCACTCCCTCTAACATGTAAACTCACTGAGCAGACCCTCAATCCCTCTGTTATTGTGTCACTATACCCCACTCCCTCTAACATGTAAACTCACTGAGCAGGGCCCTCAATCCCTCTGTTACCGTCTCACTATACCCCACTCCCTCTAACATGTAAACTCACTGAGCAGGGCCCTCAACCCCTCAGTTTCCTGTGCGTCCAGCTTGTCTGGTTACAATTACATTTCTGTTAGTCCACCCATTGTACAGCGCTACGGAATTTGTTGTCCCTTTATATATAATAATAATTGTTTCCATCACTGCGGACTGTGGAATATAGACATTATTCTGTTTACATATAACAAGTGATCTCACAGATTCAGTGCTTTAAAACCTATTTATAAAGGAAGAATCACAGTGAAAACATTATACATACTCCCCACATATCTCCCAGTTTTACAATGCAGTTTTACATTATAGACAGTGGAGCATATCTGGGATGCTGTCCTTCTCCGGTGCCAGCTTCCTCCTATATCAGCTCCCTTCTTTGCCCTTCACCTTTCATGCCAACCCCCCTTCTATGTCATTTCTCCCCTTCTGTGCCATTCACCTCTCATGCCAGCACCCTTCCCTTGCCATTCACATCTTGTGCCATTCCCCTCCTGTACCAGCCCCTTCTGTGTCATTTATCTCATGTGCCATTCCTCTATCATGCCATTCCCCTCCTGTGCCATTCCCCTCCTCTACCTGTCCCCTATTGTGCCATTCCCCTCCTCTACCTGTCCCCTATTGTGCCATTCACCTCCCCTTCTTGTGTTATTCACCTCCTGTGCCATTCCCATTTCGTGCCATTTACCTCTTCTACCTGTCCCCTATTGTGCCATTCACCTCCTCTACCATCCCCTTCTTGTGTTATTCACCTCCTGTGCCATTCCCATTTCGTGCCATTTACCGCCTGTACCATTCCTCTCCCGTGCCATTCACCTCTTGTGCCATTCCCCTTTTCTACCAGCCCCTTCCTGTGCCATACACATCTCGTACCAGCCCCCTACCGTGCCATTCCCCTCCTACAATGCCATTTCTTTTCTATTGTTTCTTTAGATATTCTTCAATGTGTTTCCTTCTTTTAACAGGTCAGTTTCTGCTCTGAGTGCCAGTGCGTTATCCTCTGTCCAGATACATGCCATCCTGCCCTATTCCAAGGGTTTCCTGTGCTCGGCTGGACCAGGCAAGGTTTGCATGTTTGAGAAGGTGGAAGACAAAGAACTTTACAAAAGGAGCCACGATATCAGAGTGAGTCGATTTCCTGGGGTGGATGGGGCAGTACGTGGCGTGGAGAGATTTTTTATCATATTTCTTGTTGGCAGATTCCGCAGGACGAGCACAGCAGTGATCCCAGCCAGTCGGAGCTGCAGGAGGTGCTGCACATGTGTCTGAGCCCCTCGGAGGAGACAGTGCTGGTTAGTACCAGTAAGAGTCAAATTTACACCATCGCCCTGTCCTCAGCTGAAATCGGGAAGGTGAGTTTGTCAGTTCATTTATCTTCTGGAATCCACTATCTCTCCAGTTTGTCCTTCTTTGTTCCTTTTTTTATGCTATCCTGTCCCTGAAACATACCTCCCAAATGTCCTTATTTAAGAGTAACAGTCCCTATTTTGGACCCAAATTCCTCTGTCCCTCTTTTCTCTCATAATGTCCCTCTTCTCTTGCAGCTCCATATTGTTGGTCTGTCTGAGTGTACAGCAAATCTCCACAGCAATAATACTCCCATTAATGTGTCTGAGTGTATAACAGAGCTCCACTGCAATAATACTCCCAGTAATGTGTCTGAGTGTATAACAGAGCTCCACAGCAATAATACTCCCAGTAATGTGTCTGAGTGTATAACAGAGCTCCACAGCAATAATACTCCCAGTAATGTGTATGAGTGTATAACAGAGCTCCACAGCAATAATACTCCCAGTAATGTGTATGAGTGTATAACAGAGCTCCACAGCAATAATACTCCCAGTAATGTGTCTGAGGGTATAACAGAGCTCCACAGCTATAATACTCCCAGTAATGTGTCTGAGTGTATAACAGAGCTCCACAGCAATAATACTCTCAGTAATGTGTCTGAGTGTATAACAGAGCTCCACAGCAATAATACTCCCATTAATGTGTCTGAGTGTATAACAGAGCTCCACAACAATAAATCTCCCAGTAATGTGTCTGAGTGTATAACAGAGCTCCACAGCAATAATACTCCCAGTAATGTGTCTGAGTGTATAACAGAGCTCCACAGCAATACTACTCCCAGTAGTGTGTCTGAGTGTATAACAGAGCTCCACAGCAATAATACTCCCAGTAGTGTGTCTGAGTGTATAACAGAGCTCCACAGCAATACTACTCCCAGTAGTGTGTCTGAGTGTATAACAGAGCTCCACAGCAATAATATTCCCAGTAATGTGTCTGAGTGTATAACAGAGCTCCACAGCAATAATACTCCCAGTAATGTGTCTGAGTGTATAACAGAGCTCCACAGCAATAATACTCCCAATGATGTGTCTGAGTGTATAAAAGAGCTCAGCAATAATACTCCCAGTAATGTGTCTGAGTGTATAACAGAGCTCCACAGCTTCAATAATACTCCCAATGTGTGTGTGTAGTGTATAACAGGCTCCATTGTATACTCCCAGTAATGTGTCTGAGTGTATAACAGGCTCCACAACCAATATGCTCAATGTGTGTCTGAGTGTCTAACAGAGCCCCACAGCAATAATACTCCCAGTAATGTGTCTGAGTGTATAACAGAGCTCCACAGCAATAATACTCCCAGTAATGTGTCTGAGTGTATAACAGGGCTCCACAGTAATAATACTCCCAGTAATGTGTCTGAGTGTATAACAGAGCTCCACAGTAATAATACTCCCAGTAATGTGTCTGACTGTATAACAGAGCTCCACAGCAATAATACTCCCAGTAATGTGTCTGAGTGTATAAAAGGGGCTCCACAGCAATAATACTCCCAGTAATGTGTCTGAGTGTATAACAGAGCTCCACAACAATAATACTCCCAGTAATGTGTCTGAGTGTATAAAGAGCTCCCACAGCAATAATACTCACAGTAATGTGTCTGAGTGTATAACAGAGCTCCACCCTTAATAATACTTCCAGTGATGTGTCTGAGTGTATAACAGAGCTCCACAGAAATAATACTCCCAGTGATGTGTCTGAGTGTATAACAGAGCTCCTCAGCAATAATACTCCCAGTAATGTGTCTGAGTGTATAACAGAGCTCCACGGAAATAATACTCCCAGTGATGTGTCTGAGTGTATAACAGAGCTCCACAGCAATAATACTCCCAGTAATGTGTCTGAGTGTATAACAGAGCTCCACAGCAATAATACTCCCAGTAATGTGTCTGCGTGTATAACAGAGCTCCACAGCAATAACACTCCCAGTAATGTGTCTGAGTGTATAACAGAGCTCCACAGCAATAACACTCCCAGTAATGTGTCTGAGGGTATAACAGAGCTCCACAGCAATAATACTCCCAGTAATGTGTCTGAGTGTATAACAGGGCTCCACAGCAATAATACTCCCAGTAATGTGACTGAGTGTATAACAGAGCTCCACAGCAATAATACTCCCAGTAATGTGTCTGAGTGTATAACAGAGCTCCACAGTCATAATACTCCCAGTAATGTGTCAGTGTATAACAGAGCTCCACACTAATAATACTCCCAGTAATGTGTCAGTGTATAACAGAGCTCCACAGCAATAGTACTCCCAGTAATGTGTCTGAGTGTATAACGGAGCTCCACAGCAATAATACTCCCAGTAATGTGTCTGAGTGTATAACAGAGCTCCACAGCAATAATACTCCCAGTAATGTCTGAGTGTATAACAGAGCTCCAATTAACAACGAAACAGCTGTCCATGAGTGGTTCACTGGTTTTGCATCTTATCCTAAGTTGTATTCCAAGCAGTTGTATACTGCAAACACAAATTAAAAGGAATCCATGTTTAAAATGGAATGAGGCAAAAATGTGATTCTTTGTTAAACTAATTTGCATATGCCCACCCAGAGTCCTTTGCGGTTGTAACATCACTGCTGATTTGGGATTTCTGTGGGAAAAGCAAGTCTTATGGCTTGACTGGTGTGCAGATTTTTGTTTAGCATTGTATTAACTATCCACATAATTCAGGTGGAAGGGGTTTTCAATCACAATTTTTCCCCACCATAACCTAATTATATATATATATATATATATATATATATATATATATATATATATATAATTTAAAAATTGTCCTTTTTTATTTATAATTTTCTCCTTGCTATTTTTATTTTTAATAAACGTTTTTCCAATTTTTTTTTTCCTCTCGTTGTTTATATTGCCCTTCTTGTGGGTGATGTTGCTGCTGAGCTAATTAGGGGGAGTGCCCCTTAATTTCCAACTGTGTGGGATTTGTATTGCCAATATCAACTCACTACTGACTCAAAGAGCTTGCTCACTGGAGTTTGCTTGATAACAGAGCTCCACAGCAATAATACTCCCAGTAATGTGTCTGAGTGTATAACAGAGCTCCACAGCAATAATACATGCTTCCCAATAGTACAGATATTGGCGGACAGTTTTGATTTGTGGGTTCTGTCCCACCTTCCCGCGTTGGTTCCCTGCAGCCCCGCTTTTAGGGACACCAGGGAACTGTCCCTAAATCGTAGCTTGAGTGCCGGACCTTAAGTTCCGGCACAAGGACCCTGCAGGGAGCACTGAAACAGTACTGATAACAGGGCCAGCCCTCAGTGAATCTGCTAAAATGATTGTCAGGCAGTGTGGGTGCCATTTCATGTCTGTTCACCTCCTTTTGGGTGAGTGACATGATCCCCTTTACCCCCTCTCACCGGTGTCCTGATTCTGCCGAGGTTGGGAGGTATGATTATACTCCCAGTAATGTCTGTAAACTGCACTAAATGTGTTTAGAAATCAGTGTAAATAACTAAGATACATTGCTCTTCTAAATTACATTTTCTTATTATTACAATTATTATAACTAAATCACCTAAATCTCTCAGAACAGTCCCGCCCCTGGCCCCTGGCCACACTCCCACTAACACCCCTGAAATTACAGGGGGTATGCAGATAAATGCCTGATAAAGGCCCAATTTGCAATTTTGCTGCAATAGAATGTAATATGTAGCCTCTCCTCCTTCTTACTGATTGTCTATTGTAATATTAAACCCCTCCCCTTCTCAGTTGTTACTTATTGTAATATTAAACCCCTCCCCTTCTCACTTGTTACTTATTGTAATATTAAACCCCTCCCCTTCTTACTTGTTACTTATTGTAATATTAAACCCCTCCCCTTCTCACTTGTTACTTATTGTAATATTAAACCCCTCCCCTTCTCACTTGTTACTTATTGTAATATTAAACCCCTCCCCTTCTCACTTGTTACTTATTATAATATTAAACCCCTCCCCTTCTCACTTCTTACTTATTGTAATATTAAACCCCTCCCCTTATTGCTTGTTACTTATTGTAATATTAAACCCCTCCCCTTCTCACTTGTTACTTATTGTAATATTAAACCCCTCCCCTTCTCACTTGTTACTTATTGTAATATTAAACCCCTCCCCTTCTCACTTGTTACTTGTTGTTGTAATATTAAACCCCTCCCCTTAACTTGTTACTTATTGTAATATTTAACCCCTCCCCTTCTCACTTGTTGCTTATTGTAATATTTAACCCCTCTCCTTACTTGATGCTTATTGTAATAATTAACCCTCGTTGTCCCTTGTTGCAGGGTGATGACGCTTACTTTGAGTATCTGTCCGAGCAGTGGCACTCCGCCCCTATAACAGGACTGGGCATCTGTGTCCGTAAACCGCTCCTCGCTACCTGTTCACTGGACAAGTCCATTCGCATCTGGAATTATGAAAACAAGTACTGGCTTTTTATTCTTTATGTTTTCTGTGCACCCACCTAGGGCCATCATTCTCTTATTGCTTATCGTATCAATATTGTCACTTTTTATTTTGGAAGAATATGATATAGGGATGTTAATATAGCTATAATCATTGCACTTACTTGCTATTAGCCAGTATGTGTTTTTATTCTTCCCGCCCATAGAATTTACATCTATTCCCCATTTACTGGCTGAGCTAAAAATGATTAATATTGACAAAAATTCCTCTTATTCTGATCTGTGAGGTCTAATCGTGTCCTATACACTGCTGCCCAGCAAGAGTTTCTGGCTTACTTCTATTGTCTCCCATCCAAGTTCCATTCAGCACATACAGAGGTTTTCACTAAACTTAGAATTCAAAGTGAATTTCATGGTAAAAATAGCCGACATTCTCTAAGTCAGCTCCCCTTCAATTTTGACTATTTTATCCTAAAATTTGCAATTCACTTTGAATTCTGACTTTGATGAATAACCCTAATATAGAGGAACTGCTCAATAAATGGGAGGACAGAGACCCTTCCTGTATGCAGTGTGTGGAGTCCTCATGCTACATATGCAGTTTGGGGGAATTTGACACAGGAATGAGGAAGCTTAGAGACGTGATTTATTTATTGATTGATTTTTGTATATTGGTGCATTAATAATTATAACAATATATAATAATGAATGTGTGAGCTGAGCACTGGGTACTCTGTTTACATTAATGCAAAGTAGTCGTGGGGTTACAGAGACCATTTAAGTCTATGTTTATTGGTCTGGTGTCCTTTAAGATATCTATGTACATACATTTTAAATGATCTGTTTTGGTTCTCGTTATGTATCAATGATTTAATTTAACCATGTTGGAAATATCTACAAATGTATGTAACAAGAAACAAACAAGAAAAATGACATGCTATCACTTGGTTAAAGTGCTCGGGTTCTCATACTGTTTCTCTTCAATCCAAGTTCTCTAGAACTGTACAGAGAATACCAGGAGGAGGTATACAGTGTCTCGTTACATCCATCCGGACTCTATGCTCTGGTGGGATTTTCAGACAAGCTGCGTTTAATGAACCTGCTAATTGATGATATCCGCACATTCAAGGAATTCACCGTCCGTGGCTGCCGTGAGGTATGTCTGTGTTCCTTCTCAGCCCAGTGAGGTTTCATCTCTAAACTGGGAATCGGGGAGAACTGACAAGGAATGTACACATTTTAGGACCAAATGGCTCATCTGGAAAATGTCTCCAGTTTGTCTAACGTTTCACCTGCGACTATTTTGTCCTGAAATTTGCAATTCCTTTCCCATATGTCCACTATTTCCATTTAGCTCTGAATGTTATCTCTCTGTCTTTCCACTATAAGGCCAACAGTATTTGGACTATCCTACTAATTACTGATTTCAGATGCTTTAACCTCACCCATTGCTTCACTCCCTGCACAGAAGCCGAGACGATTTTATATATAAAGTGTAAAATAAGGAGACAGAGACACTATGACCTGATCCTCAGGAGCAGCAAAGATCCTCACTGGATAAACTATGTGTGTATACAGTTGCAATCTAAATTATTCAACCCCCAGGGCCGTCTTTAAGGAGGGGCAAAAGGGGCAGCTGCCCCAGGCCCAGTTACTCCTGGGGGCCCTAAGGCAGCTGCCCCATGGGCCCCCTGCGGCACCTGAGGTAATCAGGGGCCACAGCCCTTTAATACTGCTCTGGACCGGCCCGGGTCCCTGTTATATGGGGGGTGGCTGACTACATACTCACAGCTAGCCCCCTCACATACTGCCCTGTGAGTCTCTTTGTTTCCTGGGCATGCTGGGAGGCAGTGAGGTCAGATCGCTTCCTCCTCAGTGCCGCTGGGGAGGAGGCACACACCACATGGAGGAGGATGCAAGCATTGTTGGGGAGAGGGACTGAGAAAGCTGATGGCAGACTCCCATCAGCCTGGGCCAACAAGCTCTCACTGGACCCCAGGGAAGCCACCTTTCTGTACCCAAAAGGTAAGGAGACAGGAGGGTGGCTAAATATGTTTTGTTTTTTGTTTTGCTAATTTCTGATATCACTTTTATTCAAGTGTTGGTGTTTGTAATGTAACACACAGGGAATAAGTACATTTTAAAAATCCTAGAAGAACCTGACAGTTCCCTATTAAATATAAATTTAAAAAGTATTTATTTTAACATATTGCATCAAGTGTTATCAAAGGCTGTACACCATTTTCAGATGTCACTTTTGCCAAATTCTGGACCAGGGTGTGTAAGAACAGAGTTGAGACATTATATTGGCCAAGGTTGCTGGGAGTTGCTGTCCAAGAGCTGCTAGAAGGCAGAGATTAAAATATGTAAATGTACACATATATATGTGTGGATCTGGCTGTATTTATGTCCTTTTGTGTATCTGGCTGTGTTTGTCTGTGTATCAGTGTTTCTGTGTGTATGTATACGTCATACACCTGTATGTGCACCTGTGTGTGTGTAAGTGTGCATCTGAGTGTGTGGTAATGCATACATCCCAGCATTTTAATGCCAACACAAATACACTCCTACATTATTATTATTATTATTGCCATTTATATAGCGCCAACAGATTCCGTAGCACTTTACAATATTATGAAAGGGGATTTAACTATAAATAGGACAATTACAAATAAACTTACAGGAACAATAGGTTGAAGAGGACCCTGCTCAATCGAGCTTACATTCTATAGGAGGTGGGGTGTAAAACACAATAGGACAGGAATGTGCAATCAAATATGGTGGGCTGCCCTTTAGGAGAGGGCAAGAGACGGGTATGTGAGGTAGGGGTTAGTCTTGGAGGCCATAAGCTTTCCTAAAGAGATGGGTTTTAAGGCACTTCTTAAAAGATGCAAGACTAGGGGAGAGTCGGATGGCGGTAGGCAGGCTATTCCATAGGAAGGGAGCCGCCCGCGAGAAGTCCTGCAAGCGCGAGTTGGCCGTACGGGTGCGGACAACGGACAGGAGGTGGTCACGGGCAGAGCGGAGAGACCGAGAAGGGACATACCTGTGGATCAGTGAGGAGATATAAGAGGGGCTAGAGTTGTTCAGTGCTTTATAGGTGTGAGTTAGTGCCTTGAATTGACTCCTATAGCACACAGGAAGCCAATGTAAGGACTGGCAGAGGGGTGAGGTGTGAGAGAACCGACTAGAGAGGAAAATCAGTCTAGCAGCAGCATTCATTACAGACTGTAGGGGTGCAGTACGGCTTTTGGGAAGACCAAGCAGGAGAGGGTTACAATAATCCATGCGTGAAATTATTAGAGCATGGACAAGCTCCTTGGTAGTATCTGGTGCAAGAAAGGGGCGGATGCGGGCTATGTTTTTAAGATGGAATCTACAGGATTTGGCAACATGCTGGATGTGAGGCTCAAAGGTGAGACCAGAGTCAAGTATGACGCCAAGACAGCGCGCTTGCAAGGATGGGCTGATGTTGGTACCACAAACTTGAAGGGAGAGCGATAGAGGAGGATCAGTATTAGGAGGAGGAAAGACAAGGAGCTCAGTTTTTGAGAGATTGAGTTTCAGAAAGCGGGAGGACATCCAGTCAGAGATGGAAGAAAGGCAAGCAGTGACACGTTGCAGGACAGCAGGGGAGAGGTCCGGGGAGGAGAGATATAGCTGGGTGTCATCAGCGTACAGGTGGTAGTGGAAACCAAATGAGGTAATAAGTTTGCCAAGAGAGGCAGTGTAAAGAGAAAATAGAAGGGGACCAAGGACGGAGCCTTGGGGGACTCCAACCGAGACAGGGCGAGGGGAGGAGGTATCATTAGAAAAAGAGACACTGAATGAGCGTTGGGAGAGATAAGAGGAAAACCACGAGAGGACAGAGTCACAGAGACCAAGCGATTGCAGAGTTTGAAGAAGGAGAGCATGATCAACGGTGTCAAAGGCCGCCGAGAGGTCAAGAAGAATTAGTATGGAGTAGTGGCCTTTGGATTTAGCTGCGATTAGGTCGTTAGTAACTTTGATAAGGGCAGTCTCTGTAGAGTGGAGAGGGCGGAAGCCAGATTGAAGGGGGTCAAGGAGAGAGTTGGAATTGAGGAAATGAGACACACGGGTAAAGACGAGTCTTTCCAGAAGCTTTGAGGAAAAAGGGAGCAGGGATATGGGACGGTAGTTAGAGGGGGTGGACGGGTCAAGGGATGGTTTTTTTAGTATAGGTACTACAGTGGCATGTTTAAGGTCAGCAGGGACGATGCCAGAAGAGAGCGAGCAGTTGAAGATGTGTGTTAGAGAAGGCACGAGACAAGTGGAGAGAGATCTGATAAGGTGAGATGGGACAGGATCGAGCGGGCAAGTGGTGGGGCGAGAGGAGCAAAGAAGAGCAGCCACCTCTTGGTCAGTGGCTGGGGAGAATGTCTGAAGGGTAGGAAAGGCATGATCAAGGTGTGATTGAGAAACAGAAAGGCAAGGAGGGGAGAATTCTTTCCTTAGCTGTTCAATTTTGTCAGTGAAGTAACATGCAAAGTTATCAGCAGTAAGGTTGGTTTGGGGGGTGGCCACAGCGGGGCGAAGAAGAGAATTAAAGGTGTCAAAGAGACGCCTGGGGTTGCGGGAACATGAACTAATGAGAGAGGAAAAATAGGACTGTTTGGCAAGGGCAAGGGCTGCACTGTATGAACACAGTATGAATCTATAATGGAGAAAGTCTGACTGGGTGCGAGACTTCCTCCAGGAGCGTTCAGCACACCGGGAGCATCTTTGCAGGTAGCGCGTTGATTTAGTATGCCACGGTTGGGGGCGGGTCCTCCTTGAGGTGCTTGCTTGGAGTGGCGCTGCAGTGTTCAAGGCAGATGTAAGAGTAGAGTTATATATGGAGATGGCCAGTGAAGGACAGGATAGGGAAGGGATGGACAGCAGTTGTGGATCAATGTCAGCTGACAACTGTTGGAGATCAAGAGAATTAAGGTTCCTCCTGAGTTGAGGCTGGTTAGGCGGAGGTTGTTGGGTGAGGGGGTACGTGAGAGCAAACGATAAGAGGTGGTGATCAGAGAGAGGATAGGGAGTGTTGCAGATATTAGATACCGTACATGCATAAGTGAAGATTAGGTTGAGGGTATTGCCAGCAACATGGGTGGGTGAATTTGCCCACTGTGATAGCCCGAGGGAGGAAGTAATTGAAAGTAGTTTATTGGCTGCAGAGGTCAAAGGTGGGTTTATAGGAATATTGAAGTCCCCGAGAATTAAGGATGGGATGTTAGAAGAGAGGAAATAGGGTAGCCAGGCAGCAAAATGGTCAAGGAAGAGAAGAGGGGAACCAGGGGGACGGTAAATAACAGCAATGTTAGCAGCGAAGGGTTTGAAAAGGCGAATTGAGTGTATTTCAAATGATGGGAAAGAGAGGGAAGGGGGGGTGTTATTTACCGTACATTCCATCTCTAGCACTGTACACATATACACCCCTGCATTTATACCTTTATGTATGTGTGTATCTGAGTGTGTGTGTATATACCTGTGTCAGTATGTGTGTGTATGTGCCAGTGTGTGTATATCAAAGTGCTTGTATCTGTGTGTCAAAGGGTGTGTATCTGAGTGTATGTGCCAGTATGTGTCAAGGTGTGAGCATGTGTCAGTGTGAGCATGTGTGTATCTGCGTGTTAATGTGTATGTGTATATGTGTTATAGAAATCAAACAACATGCAAACAGACCCCTGCAAACACAAACATTACAAACACACCAGTTTGCTGAAACACTAATACTACACACAAATGTACACATGTATTTAAAAGACAACACTACATCCAAACACCCCCCTGCATGCAAATACAAACATTACATGCAAACACATTCCTGTATTAAAACGCTAAAATTATATACAAACACCAACTCTACACACAAAAGTACAACTGCATTTAAAAGCCAACACTACAAACAATCACACATCCCTGCATTAAAATGCAAACACTACACACAAGTACACCACTGCATTCCAATGGTAACAGTACATACAAATACACTCCTACATGCACACATACACTCTATACAATAACATGCTGACATTCAATTGCACAAACACTGCTCAAAAATACAACCCTGCAAGGATGGTAGGTAAATCCCCAGCTGGCATAGCATCGCAGGAGTTGTATGACAGATGGGGATCTATCTTTTCTTTACTCTTGTGCTACAGGGCAGGCCTGAATTTTTTTTTTTGCACCAAGGCACTCTCTACATTAGTTTCGCCTCTAGGTTGGGGTGGAGGGAGTGATTGCATGCCCAGGGGGCCCAAACAGATGCTTGCCCAGGGTCCAATCAATATTAAAGACGGCCCTGTCAACCCCCATTGGAAAGCCGGTTTATTGTCAACATTTACAGACTTTCTGCTGTTTGCAATGAACAAATCAAATGAAAGCAATTGAAATAGCTCAACACAACAAATGCTTCAAGTGATTTCCCCAAATTCAACTGAAAATGCAATTTATAATGACTTCTCCAATCTCAAACCTATGGCAAGGATCTTTAGCACTTAGTAGAGCACCCCTTTTGCTGTTGTGATCTGCTACAATTGAGATGCATAGCCAGACACCAGCTTCTGGCAGCGTTCCTGAGGAATCTTAGGCCAGTGCTCATGAGCAATATTCTTGGGTTTGTGTGCTGTAACCGCCTCCTTCATATCTCACCAGAGATTTCCAATGAGGTTAAAGTCAGGTGACTGTGATGGCCAGGACTTCTTCAGCAATCAATCCTTGGTTGAATTTAAGGTATGCTTGGGATTATTGTCTTGTTTGAAGATCCAATGATGACCAAGATTCAACTTCCTCACAGACTGCATGACGCTTTCTCCTAGGATTTCCTGATACTTTAATGAATTTATCTTGCCTTCCACATGTTGCAGGTTTCAAGTGCCATAGGATGCAAATCAGCCCCAGAGCATCACCGAGCCACCATCATGCTTAACTCTAGGCAGAGTGTTGTTTTCAGTGTATGTGGTGTTTAATTGTAGTGGTGTTACGGAGACAGGCTCAGGTACTGAGTTTGTGGAACCACCATCCTCTATGCCTAAGGTGTGCAAGAGTGCAGCCAATGACAAAAAGGACAATGTGTGGCCTGACAGAAAGCAGTTGTTTCTGGGGGCACTGAGTGCAGTGGTGTTGTGGAGACAGGCTCAGGCACCAAGTGTAGTGGTATTATGGAGACAGGCTTGGCGACTAATAGAAAGCAGCTGTTGTTGGGGGATCCTATCTTAAGAGGTGTGGAGCTGGACAATAGTGGCCTTGTGCGATGTCTTCCTGGAGCTACTGCTCGCAGAGACGGGAGACGTACCGTATATACTCGAGTATAAGCCGACCCGAATATAAGCCGAGGCCCCTAATTTTACCCCAAAAAACTGGGAAAACGTATTGACTCGAGTATAAGACTAGGGTGAGAAATGCAGCAGCTACTGGTAAATTTCTAAATAAAATTAGATCCTAAAAAAATTATATTAATTGAATATTTATTTACAGTGTGTGTATTTGATGAATGCAGTGTGTGTATGAATGCAGTGTGTGTGTATGAATGCAGTGTGTGTATGAGTGCGCAGTGTGTGTATGAGTGCAGCGTGTGTGTATGAGTGCAGTGTTTGTGTATGAGTGCAGTGTTTGTGAGCGCAGTGTTTGTGAGCGCAGTGTTTGTGTATGAGCGCAGTGTTTGTGTATGAGTGCAGTGTGTATGAGTGCAGTGTGTATGAGTGCAGTGTTTGTGTATGAGTGCAGTGTGTGTGCATAAATGCAGTGTGTGTATGAGTGCGCAGTGTGTATATGAGTGCAGTGTGTGTATGAGTGCAGTGTGTGTGTGTGTGTGATGCAGTGTGTGTTTGTGTTGCAGAGCCTTGGTGGGGGGTGGGCATTTTTATTAAAAAAAAATTATTATTATTTAAAAAAATTTTGTTATATTTTTTTTTATTATTTTTTTTTTATTATTATTTTTATTATTTATATTTATATATTATTATTTTATCTATTTTTTGTCCCCCCTCCCTGCTTGATACATGGCAGGGAGGGGGGCTCTCCTTCCCTGGTGGTCCAGTGGCATTGGCAGTTCAGTGGGGGGAGGAGGGGGGCTGGCAGAGCTGTTACTTACCTCTTCTGCAGCTCCTGTCAGCTCTCTCCTCCTCCGCGCTGGTCCGTGCAGCTGTTCTGTCAGCTCACACTGTAAGTCTCGCGAGAGCCGCACTATGACCCCGCCCCTCTTGCGAGACTTACACTGGGAGCTGACCGAGGTGCTGACCGGACCGGCGCGGAGGAGGAGAGAGCTGACAGGAGCTGCAGAAGAGGTAAGCGCTCGCTGCCAGCCCCCAGTCTGTATTATGGCAATGTAAATTGCCATAATACAGACACTGACTCGAGTATAAGCCGAGTTGGGGTTTTTCAGCACAAAAAATGTGCTGAAAAACTCGGCTTATACTCGAGTATATACGGTATTTGTAATATTGTTAAGCAAGCAAAGCAGAAAGGGGAATTGGATGTACTTGTCCATCTAGGGACAAATGACTTGGATTACAATGAAGTTTCAGAGCTAAAGGAAATGTTTTGTTTTCTTTCCAGTTATATACGGCAGGTTGTGTTCACACTGTCATTCTCTGAAGTTCATAACATTCAGAATGACAGGCAGATGCGTATTAGGGACTGTAGCGGATGGCATTGGGCTGTCCTAAAAATTACATTTATTCCTATGTGTTCGGTTAAATTGTCACATGTGTATGTGAAATGTATGCAGCATTCTGATTGTTCGGTAAAATCACTCCAGTTATTAGTGAAACTACCGAACAATCAGACCACCCCAGGAGTAATTGTGACTCCAATTACCGTTCGCAACAATGTTGCAAACGGGTAATTGGCAATTCGTGTAGTGTGTTCTTTGTTCTCTGGGTGGCTGCCATTTGGGAGACGAACACGTGGCGGCGGCCATTTTAAACTCCCAAACAGCGATGTTTTGGCGTCGAGTGTCTGGAACCCAAATCGGACACTCGGTTAGGCAAACACCGGTGAGACCTCCACACTGACGCCAATTTGTGTAAAAACCACCAAACGGCTTCCCATTTGGTAGAAAGAACCCCACGAACAAGGAGATTTACCCGAATCCTCCCCAGCTCTCATAACCCAAGCCATTCTTGTGTTTCATTCCCTTTTCTGTGACCAACCACAGGGCCAAAATACATGGAACCCTTTTCGGCTGTTAACCCCAGCACGGTCAGTAGTTTTAGTACTTCCAGGAATTTCCCGAACCCCTGGTCCAATCTGGGTGATTTTTGGATATGTGTCTCACCCACATCAGGGCTACCAGGGGATGTAATATTTAAAGGGGTACCCCTATGTTTAGGGGTACATCCAGAAACCCAGGGAATTTGTGTCCTGCATAATGGGATTATGTGCCACACTAAGGGGAGGGGATGTGTGGGTGGCAACTCGTATGTGATTGGAGTATTGTGTAATTACTGTAAAGCCCTCCCTTGCATGGGAGAATGCTTTAAAAGATGGTTGTGTGATTAAAAGTTCAGTTCTGCTCCTGATGCTGTGTGTCGTCCAGTCATTGGGATTGATGTTGGGATATTGTCTGATTGTTTTGCCTGCTGGAATTATTGCCTTATGGATTTATAATACTTGTTCCTGAGCCTCACTGGGATCTTAAGTGGAGATAACCTGTGGAATATCAGCTCTCCGCTACAGGGACTTTAATTTGTGGCTTGGTGAATGGTGTCTGGAGCAAGCATTTGGCTTTATTTCTCATGGTAGCTCTTTTTGGAATAGAAATTAACTGTACAAAAAAGATGGCTTGCATCTTTTTTAAAAGGGGACTGTGAAGGATCTCTTGTACTTATCTGTGTGCCTTCAGTTATATCCTCTCCCTGCTGTTTAAATGCTTGTATTCAGTTCGTTTGGTTATGTATGTGGAAGCTTGTATTCGTCTACCGAACGAAAGACCACCTACCCTGGGTAGCAATCAGCATTAGAACGGGGAGAAAACCACAACTTAATTGCTCCTGGGTGGCCATCTTAAAACTCACGAACGCGGTCAGCGGGCGGACGCATGAATTGCCTGGAACTATTTTCGGCAAGGCAAACATGCGAATGCCTGGTCTTCATGGAAGTCCTGGATGTATACGTTCCCCTACACGAATCAAACTGGCATTCGGTAGATAGAATCTACCGAACGAGGGGAACATTCGTATGTAACCAGCTGAACGATACGAACGGTGGTTTTCGTGTAGTTAGATACGAACGGAGACCGGCTCTTGCTACTGATTCTATGGAACTCTAACTCGGATACCTCCACATGGCGAGCCGGTCAAACTTCCACACGATGCGACACGGAAACTACCGAACGGAAATTCGTGAGATTTGGATATGTGACTACCAGTATCCTCAGCTACCCAGGGATGTTAAAATTATATTTGTATGTCTTGTAAAAAGTACTTTTCTGAAATTAAAAAATTGTAATGTTTCTGGCCAGCAGATAATTGAGCTTTGTGTATTGTTGAAACTCAGTTATCTAGCCAGGCCCAGAGGAGGAGTTTTGTATTGCATAAATTGTGAGTCCTGTGTGCCAGTAAATCAGTCTTGTTCCAGCATTAAGCTTTGGCTCATGTGTGGATTATTCGGCGATTCCAGGGATATTTCTACTTGTGGAGTATTGGGCGATTTTCTTTTATGGGAAGAAGGGAATGCTTGACGGTGATTCTGTATACTACCGTCACAGGGACACATGTTCTCAGCGAGGGTGATAAAACATCAATCCAATTGCACCCCAGAACAAGGACAGAAAATAACTGTAGCTACTGTGTTAAATAATTATAAGCTTAGAGTCATGTCTACAAATGCTTGCAGTTTAGGGAGTAAGATCCATGAACTTGTGGCTATAATGGCAACTGATAATGTAGATTTAGTCGCAGTTACTGAGACATGGTATAATGAGAAAAATGACTGGGACATAGGAATACCAGGGTACTCCTTATATAGAAAAAACAGGGAAGGCAAGAAAGGGGGAGGGGTGACCCTGTATGTGAAGGATAGCATAAAATCTAGCCTAATAAAAGTTAGTGAGGCTAGCATAGAGTCCGTTTGGGCTACGTTAGAATTTGGTAATCACACACTAACTTGTGTAGGTGTGATTTATAGGCCCCCAGGACAAATTGAAGAGTTAGATAATCTACTAGTTGAGTAAATAGCCAAAATGACAATGAAGGGGGAAGTTATCATCATGGGTGACGTTAATCTTTACGGAAGTGGACTGGAAAGCAAGAACAAAAACAGAAGCACACATATTCTAAACTCTCCACTGTGGTACTCTGCAGATGTGGAAAAAATAGTAAAAAACAAAAAACAATAAGTTAGCATTTAGTAATTCTAAAAAAAACCCAGGGTGAGGAAGACAGAATGATCTATAAGATTAGGCAGAAAGAGCTAAGCAAGTTAAAAGAGCTTCCAAATCACACACAGAAGAGAAAATAGCACAGTCAGATACATAAATAAGAAAAGAAAAGTAAAACAAGGATTAGTTAGATTAAAAACAAAAGAAGGAAGGTATGTAGGAGAGGATAAAGGTCTAGCTGATTGCATCAATGAATATTTTTGTTCAGTATTTACAGATGAAAATAAAGGAAAAGGACTTTAGTTAGTAAAAAGGATAAATGAGTCATTTATTACATGTGAGTTTACAGAGGAAGAGGTTCTATTTCAACTGTCAAAAGTAAAGACAAATAAGTCAATGGGACCTGATGGAATACACCCAAAGTTATTAAAATAGCTTAGTGGTGTACTAGCAAAACCATTAACAGATTTATTTAACCAATCATTGTTAATAGGGATGTGCATGGGGAAAACTTTCGGTTCCGTTAGGCATTCGGGACTTCGAAACTTCGGCACTTTGGAATTTGGAACCTTCGGCATTTCGGGACTTCAGCACTTTGGGACTTCTCTTGCAGCCACTTAGTAGATAACTCCCTAATTCCCACGGTATTAGGGAGTTATCTACCAAAAGGCTGAAAGACCTAAATTTGTCTTTCAGCCAAATTTACTAAGACTACGTAAAAATTACTTAGTATTAGTAAATTTTGCCCCTACTCACTATACCGCGAGTAAGGGCATGTCTATTAAAAAAAAACAAAAAAAAAAACATGGGGACCTACTACCACCCCCTGCCCCCACCCCTGAGTGGCAGGTGGGGGCCCTAAATCAGAAAAGGGGGGATCTATTGTCCCCCCCGGCCCCCACCCCTGAGCGGTAGGTGGGGGCCTTAAATTACTTCAAGGGGGGGAACCTATTGTCCTCCCCCCGGCCCCCACCCCCGAGCGGTGGGTGGGGACCCTAAATTAGAATAAGGGGGGACACCTATTGTCCTCCCTCCAGGCTCCACCCCTGAGAGGTGGGTGGGGGCCCTAGAGTAAAATGATGGGGGGGATCCTATTGTCCTCCCCCCTGCCCCCACCCCTGAGCGGCGGGTGGGGGCCCTAAATACCAGTAAGAGGGGAGGACCTAGTGTCATCCCCCTGGCCCCACCCCTGAGCGGTGGGTGGGGGCCCTAAATACCAATAAGGGGGGGGGAACCTATTGTCCTCCCCGCTGGCCCCCACCCCTAGAGTAAAATGATGGGGGGGATCCTATTGTCCTCCCCCCTGCCCCCACCCCTGAGCGGCGGGTGGGGACCCTAAATTAGAATAAGGGGGGGACCTATTATCCTCCCCCCTGGCCCTCACCCCTGAGCGGTGGGTGGGGGCCCTAAATACCAATAAGGGGGGGGACCTATTGTCCTCCCCGCTGGCCCCCACCCCTGAGCGTTAGGTGGGGGCCCTAAATAAAAATATACCCACCACCCCTCCCCAAAAAATTATTTAGCCCCTACCTACACCCCTCACCCTAAAAATAGTGAGGGGGAAGCATTAACTAGGGACCTGAAAAAAAATTAAAATAAAACTTTTGATGTCTTCTTTTTTCTAACGTCTTCTTTTTTCTAACGTCTTCTTTTTTCAGCCTCAAAAAAGACCAAATAAAAATCCATAATAAACGACCAAAAAAAATCAGAGCGCAAAAAAATAATCCATCTTCACCGATGGAGGGCTCCACGCAGACTGAGCTCTGCAGGGCAGGGGAAGGCTTATAAAGCCTTGCCCCGCCCTGCAATTAGGCTCAGTGCACTCTGGTTGGTTGGTTTAAGCCATCCAATCAGAGTGCTCTGACAGGTTAATGAAGTCTCAACATTTACCTGTAACAGCACTCTGATTGGTAAGCTTAAAATCCAGCCAATCAGAGTGCTCTGTGTCATTTTACACAGCGTGGTAAAGTTCTTTTGAATTTTCCCATGCTGTGTAATTTGACTCATAACAACACTCTGATTGGTGGATTGAAAGTAACCAATCAGAGAGTTATGAGTCAAATTACACAGCATGGGAAAATTCCAAATAACTTTCCCACGCTGTGTAAAATAACACAGAGCACTCTTTTGGCTGGATTTCAAGCAAATCACTCAGGGGTGGGGGAAAGGGGGAGGACAATAGGTCCCCCCCCTTATTCTAATTTAGGGCCCCCACCCACTGCTCAGGGGTGGGGGCCAGGAGGGAGTACAATAGGTCCCCCCCTTATTGGTATTTAGGACCCCCACCCGCCGCTCAGGGGTGGGGGCCAGGGGGGAGGACAATAGGTCCCCCCCTTATTCTAACTTAGGACCCCAACCCGCGCTCAGGGGTGGAGGCCGAGGAGAGGACAATAGGGCCCCCCCATTATTTTACTTTAGGGCCCCCATCCGCCGCTCATGTGTGAGCACCGGGGGGGAGCACAATAGGTTCCCCCCTTATTCTTCTTTGGGGCCACCACCCGCCGCTTAGGTGTGGGGGCCAGGGGGAGGACAATAGGTCCCCCCCTTATTCTTCGGTATAGCGAGTAGGGGCATAATTTGGCTGAAAGACTAATTTAGGTCTTTCAGCCTTTTAGTACATAGCTCCCTATTACCGTGGGAATTAGGGAGTTATCTACTTATTCATTCCTGTCATTCCATTGACAGGCTAAGTAACTTACATTTTATATGAATGTGTGTTACTTGATTGTTGTAAGTGTTGCAAATGCTTACAGCTGAATCCTGGCTATGTTTGTATACTTTTTATTTAAACTTGTATACAGTGTAACATTCTTCATTCTTCCACTGGGTAGGTATCTTAGTACTTCGGCAATACTGTGCATCTGAACTTCGGGACTTCGACACTTTGGAAATTCAGCGATTTCGGAACTTCGGCAATTCAGCTATATGGACATTCGGAAGTATCCGAATGTCCAAATTGCCCAAAATTCGTCCGAATTAACATTCGGAACGAAACCAATTACACATGTCTAATTGATAACAGGAGTAGTCCCAGAAGACTGGAAGTTAGTGAATGTTGTGCCCATTCACAAGAAAGGTAATAGGGAGGGGTCGGGCAATTATAGGCCTGTTAACCTTACTTCAGTAGTGGGGAAAGTGATGGAAACCATGTTAAAGGATAGGATTGTTGAACATCTAAAAACACATGGATTTCAAGATCAGAGACAACATGGGTTTACTTCAGGGAGATCATTCCAAATTAATCTTATTTATTTTTTATATTGGGTAACTAAAATAGATCGGGGTAGTGCAGTAGACATTGCTTACCTAGATTTCAGTAAGGCTTTTGACACTGTTGCACATAGAAGGCTTATCAATAAACTGCAATCTTTAAGTTTGGATTCCAATATTGTTGAACGGGTAAGGCAGTGGCTGAGTGACAGGCAACAGAGGCTTGTAGTTAATGGAGTATATTCGAAGCTTGGGCTTGTCACCAGTGGGGTACCTCAGGGATCTGTACTTGGACCCATTCTCTTTAATATTTTTATTAGTGATATTGCAGAAGGTCTTGATGGTAAGGTATGTCTTTTTGCTGATGATACTAAGATATGTAACAGGGTTGATGTTCCAGTAGGGATAAGCCAAATGGCAAATGATTTAGTTAAATAAGAAAAATGGTCAGATCTGTGGCAACTTACATTTAATGTTGATAAGTGCAAGAAATGCGTCTTGGGGGGGCGTGGCCTGACAGTTAATGGAGTAGGACGCACTCATTCCGAGCTCCTAGGCCCCAACCTGATTAGCCCCGATTAACCAGCACAGCAACGCCGCAGAAAGCGCACATCTATGGGGGGGAAAAATCGGAGGCTACCTACAGCAGCCCAGGTCACTCCGGCCCCTTCCCGACAGCCAGCCGGCCCGATGGACGAGTTCCTCGCCATGCCGCATGGCCTCCGCGACTCCGGCGAGGCCGGAACACCGGCCCCTGATTCCCCGGGCTCCAGCATAGCGGGCTCGGCGCGAGACTCCGGCACACCAGGCACCCTGTCCCAAATATCCGCGGACCTCGCCGCGATCTCCGCGAGCATGATGACCCGGAAGGATAAAGGCGAAATGGTGGCTGAGCTGAGGGCCATAATAAGGGAGGAAATAGCGGCAGTGCGCACCGACCTCACGGCGCTGGAGCAGCGAGTAGACAGGTTGGAAGAGGAGCGCATACAAACCCAGCAGCACAGACAGGCATCGGAACTGGCAACCACGAGGCAGGGCAATATCCTCCTGGACCTCCGCCGGCAGGTTGAAGATCTTGATAATCGCGGCCGGCGGAACAACATCAGGGTCAGAGGCCTGCCTGAATCCGAGGATGAGGTACCGCAGGAGATCCTTACTGGCCTATTCGCGCAACTACTGGGAGATGCAGCTCCTGGCGACTTCGGCATCGAAAGGGCCCACAGGGCACTCCGCGCCCCCAGAAGAGACGGGCAGCCAAGAGACATGATTTGCGCCCTCCTGTCATTCCCGCTAAAAGAATCTATAATGCGGGCAGCACGTGCACAGCAGCACATCACTTACATGGAAGCACAGATATCCCTTTACCAGGACTTATCTACCATCACCCTAGATGCCCGCAGGGCCCTGCGGCCTCTCACCCGAGCACTTCAGGAGCGACGAATTCCATACAAGTGGGGATTTCCATTTAGCCTGCAGGCCCGGATGGGAAACGTATGGCACATCATACGCTGGCCGAACGACGTGCCACGGTTTTTAAGAACCGCCAACTTACCTGCTATCACAGTGCCAAACTGGATCCTGGAGGAACCCCCGGCGCGAGCCACAGGCCCTTCTGAAGTGGCGCACAACATCCACCTGGAGCCTGGACCACCAAGACGCAGAGGCGGCCCAATAGGCCCTGAGGAATAGAGGCCCCCACGCCGCACGGACCAGTGGCCCCCCCTGGGACATCCCATGCCAGATCGAGGCAATGCCTCCTGAGCTCCCCCCAGCTTTGATTATGGACGCCATGCAGATCTGATGACACCACGGCTGGGGTATGTACTTTCAAGTCCGCTACCAGCCTGCATTAGCTAGTAGACAGGGAGGAAGGACGCAGACAGGTGGGGGGGGAACAGAAGCCACTTTCGGGGAGCGGCCGGGAGCTAGGACCCCATCAGTGAACCCACACACCCGGGGCAGAAGAGGGAAATACCCCGTAGGTGGGGAGGGGATGATGGGCAGGATACAAAGGGTCTGGACACCGTCACCATCACCCGGGTCACACCCTGGGTCAAGATTGCTGTACTGAACAGGCTGCTCCAGCACACCGCTGCCCACGGAACAGGGCTGGGGGGCGGATGTGGGAGGGCGAGGGCACCAGGATATGCGGGCACACAGGGCTAGAGCTGAGAGGGGGGCTGGGACAGGGCTGGGCACTTCTTGTTCATGTTGTTTAGTTATACACGGTTCCACTTATATTACCCGACACATATCACAGCCACTCACAGGAGGGGACAACTACACACAATTAGCCGCCCTGAGACAAGCAAGACGCCATGTTGGTACGCCCTACTTCGTAAGTCCAGGCACACAGATAGACATCATGACGGAAATTCTGAGAGCAGGGAGTGACCACGTCCCAAACCAGCCCCTCTGAAGTGACGCAAATGAGGGAGCTGGCGAGCCACGCCCACAGGGTGGCCTCACAATGCAGCCCACCACATGTAGGACTGACTATCCCCAAACAGCGCCCCTACGCCCTAGACACGCCGACTCGTAGCCCACGAACTGTAAGTCGCCCGGCGGGGGAGGTCAGACACGGAGGGTCACGGGGTGTCCAGCAGACAAAACCAGCCGAATCCTCTGACAGCACCCGGCCACTAGGACCGGGACGACAGGGGAGCCGACCGCGACGGGGGGACCCACGGGTACCACTGACCATAACGCCGACAGGACCGGTATGCACACTCGCTCCTAGACCGTGGGACTGCGGTACAGGACGCCACAGCCCGACCGACACACTAAGTCCCGGGCGACGACTGCGGAACCCGAAGCTAGAGCAGGCAAACATGGCGATTGCACACACCCTTACAGGTTGGGTGCCGATGGAGAGGGGAGAGAACCAACCTCACTCAGATCCGAGACCGACTTCACTGTAAGTGACCTTACGGAACCCCCACTGAGACAGACCCACACTGTACATTACACCGGTGTTCTCGACGCTGAGGTTACCCACCAGGCTCGAGAACGAATACACCCGGTACAGGGTCAGAGTCACACCCGCACACCCAGAAGAGACGCTAGACCATACACATCACCACCACAGACAGACAGACTCCCCTCACACTCACCACCTCATCTCCACACCATACAGACAACGCTGCAGGGACGCCGCCCTGCCGCCGAGATGGCAGCCTCGCGGGGATTTGTCCCGGCTCAACTGACATACTGGTCCAATAATGTCCAGGGGCTTAACACACCTGAAAAGCGCGCGCACCTGGTAAGGCGCCTATGGGCCGTGAGAGCTTCCGTGGCGTTCCTGCAGGAGACTCATCTCCGAGGACTGGACGCCCCCAAACTAGAGAACAGACGCTACCCGCAGGGATTCTACGCGAATCATCCGGACTCTAAGAGGGCTGGTGTGGCAATACTCTTTGCACAGACGACGCCGTTCCAACACATAGCAACGCAGGCGGACCCGAACGGTAGATTCCTTTTCATCAAGGGCACAATCATGGAACACACGTATACCTTCGCATGCCTCTACGGCCCGAATAGAAAGCAGCATACATTCCTGGCACGGACGCTAGCCAAATTGGAGAAATTCAGAGACGGCCTCTTAGTCATGGCAGGTGACCTCAACCTGCCACTGGACCCCCGCACGGACACCTCCAGAGGACAAACGGCGATCCCGGCGCACTGCATACGAGCAGCACAACGATCTATACATACACACGGCCTGGTGGATTGTTGGAGGGCATATAACCCTGATGGTAGAGACTATACCCACTTTTCGGCAGTCCATAAAAATTATAGTCGCATAGACTACATATTCCTGGCCCAGGAATACCTCAACCTCCTCCACGACGCACGAATAGGCATAATGGACCACACAGACCATGCACCACTGACGATCCGCACAAGCTCCCCACTATATAAACCCCGCGAAAGACACTGGAAACTGAATGAATCCTTACTGGACGATGCAGAGTGTAAGAGGGTGACTGCCCAAACCCTAACCGAATACTTCACTTCCAACGAAGATACGGAGATGCCACCGTTAACGATATGGGAAGCTCACAAATGCGTCATACGGGGCCATTTCATCGCCATAGGCACCAAACGCAAAAAGGAACGAACACGACGTATCACAACACTGCTAGACCGGATAGCTGACCTAGAAGGGGAACACAAGACGGACCTCGCAGACAGCACATACCTCCGCCTGACGGAAGCACGAAGGGAGCTGAAAGCCATATTATCACAAGGACTCTTACACACCGCGAGGAAGGCCTCCAGGTATTATTATGAACACTCGAACAAAAGTGGAAGGTTGCTAGCCCGGATGTTACAAGATAGAAGGAAAGCACAGCACGTTTACAAGATACGCACGAGCAGTGGAGACACAACCTGCCTCCCGGACGGCATACTGTCAGCGTTCCGGGAATACTACGCGGTGTTATATAACCAACCACGACTCCACCAAGACAGAGACATAGGTAGCCATCGAGAACGGATAACCACATACCTTCAGAACCACATCACCCGACAGCTCACCCCGGACCAGGAGGCGGAACTCGAAATGCCCTTGACGATCGAGGAACTATCTGGCGCACTGAAATCAACTAAAGCGCACAGGGCCCCGGGCCCAGACGGTCTACCAGTCTCGTACCTACGCTCCTTCAAGGACACCCTGCTGCCCAAACTCCTGACAGGCATCAACTCAATCAGAGATGGAGGCCAATTCCACAGAGACACCCTGGGAGCAACTGTGGCAATAATACCCAAAGAGGGCAAAGATCCAACAATCTGCGCCAGCTACAGGCCCATCTCTCTGATAAACGCGGACATCAAACTCTTCACTAAGGCACTGGCACTCAGGATGGCCCGGACGCTTCCGGACCTGGTACACCCGGATCAAGTGGGGTTTATCCCCGGAAGAGAAGCCAGAGATAACACTATTCGCGCCCTCAACACCATCCATACAGCTAAAACGGGCAAAAAGGAAATGGTCCTACTATCCACTGACGCTGAAAAAGCGTTTGACAGGGTGGATTGGGTCTATATGTCGGAAACATTTGGGATACGGTCCACACCTGCGGACCTGGATAACGGCTCTATATACCTCACCAACAGCCCGCATAAGAATAAACGGAGCGCTGACTGACTCGTTTGATATACATAACGGCACGAGACAGGGCTGCCCCCTGTCCCCACTCCTGTTTGCCCTCACCCTGGAGCCCTTCTTGGAGGCGGTCAGACAGGACAGGGGTATCACGGGATGCTGCATAGGAGGAAGAGAACACCGGGTAGCGGCTTACGCCGACGACATGCTCTTCTTCCTGGAGCAACCCAGAACCTCCCTCCCACATCTCCTGGAGGCGTTTCGGCAATACAAGGAGGTATCCGGCTTGACGCTTAATCTAGATAAGTCAGAGATATTGCTGCTCGCACAGGACAACATCCTCCAACGACACATACAAGCACAATTCCCCTTCAAGATCTCCACAGCCAAGCTACACTACCTCGGGGTGTGGCTCCCGAGAGACTTGACACTTCTCTACCAACTGAACTTTGCGCCCCTGCTCACCACCCTACAACAAAGCATGAAACGCTGGACACCTCAGTACATCTCGTGGTTTGGTCGCATAAGCGCTGTGAAGATGAACATTATGCCCAGATTACTATACCTGTTCCAGACAATACCAACGTACCTCCCGAGGGCATTTTTTCAGACCCTGACGACCGCAGTCAGGAACTTCGTCTGGAACCAAAAACCAGCGCGTATCCGAAGAGCGATTCTTGAACGCCCTAGAGGAGAAGGAGGTATGGGATTGCCGTCCATCCTCACGTATTACCACGCTACCCATCTGCATAGACTGGTTGATTGGCATGCAAACCCCAGTACAAAGCAATGGGTAGACTTGGAGAAACACCAAGCCCAGGGACGAATCCCCGCTATGCTATGGCTGGGAGACGCACTACCCAAGGAACTACTTACCGGGAACCCAATGATCGACGCCACGCTGAAGGTATGGTGTAGGATACGTTACTCCAAAAACCTCACGTCATCGCCCAACCCGCTCACACCAATAACACACAATCCGAGGTTAGCGGGAGGGCTAAACACTGCAGACCTGAAAAACCTCGGAGCCACGGACTGGGTATACGCTAGCCAATGGAACTCCGGGACGACGCTCAAACCCCTGGCAACGCTGATGCAGGACCGCAGGCCCAGTGGCCTAGACACCTTCCGATATCACCAAGTGAAAACATACCTCGACGGCATTGCGGGCAAAGGCCACCTACACCGCCCATTGCTGATGATGGAACACCTATGCACGGCCAGACAACACCTCTCACATGGAGTCTCACACCTCTATACCGCGCTGCTAAGCAACGGTGATAAGAGCCCTCTAGGCTTCACATCGCGATGGGAAAGAGAGACCGGGATGGAACTTACGGAAAAGGAATGGCTTAAAATCTTTCAACTAACACACAGGGGGACCATCAGCTCCAAGTTCCAAGAATGCAATTACAAAATTCTAACAGGATGGTACCGGACGCCAGATATCCTGCAGCACGTGCATGAGTCAATCTCGAACAAATGCTGGAGATGCGGCACAGGGATAGGAACCAGCATTCACATCTGGTGGACATGCCCACGTATCGAACCGTTCTGGAGGATGATACATCAGACGACCAAAGACATCACGGGCTCAGACGTCCCATTCCAACCCATGCCACTGCTTTTCAACCACACGCGCACGCCTGTGAAGATCTACAAGAAAGGACTCCTCATACACCTACTCACGGCAGCGAAGTCGCTCATCCCACTCCATTGGAAAAGCTCGACGATTCCAACCCTGCAACAATGGGTAGATAGGGTGGAGATGATATATAACATGGAGATGATGACAGCCTCCCTGCAGGGACGCCAGGAAAAATGCGCTGTGGCGTGGTACCCATGGATGGACTACACATCAAAACGGACGGGAGGAGGAGGCCCGGTGGAGATGGACGGCGCCCCCGCACCAATACAACCCCCCCAACAGAGCTCTGCACAGACATAGGCAGTGCCAGACGAGTAGATTGCATCCCCAGCACGACGGAGACACACTTCCTACGCGACCCCCCCCCCACCCCTCCTACCACATGACACATAGACACACAAAAGACCCTGAGGGACACAACCCCCGGGGGCACGCGGACCGACTTACGGCTCCGCACGAAGCGGAATCTGTGAGTAAGCAGATACAGAGGCGGAGGACCATGGGTCACGGGAGGGGAGGAGTGATCCACTAAAGTGACATATGGACCGATACACTAGGGGATGGAGGGAAGAGGGAGACCGGGACGCAAGGGACATGGACTCACCCCCACCCCAGACGTAAGAAGCCACGACTTGAGCCAGTAGCACCCGGCCCAGACCACGCCAACTAACAACCAGGGCTGCCGCAGGTGGCAGACATAACCCCACACACACCGAACCCAGCGAGACCCAAGATAAGAGATATCAACCTAGACTTAGGTATCCAGAAGAGTCACGGGGACCGTGCAAAGGCCCCAGGGCTGATATGATTACACCCACCACACGAGTGACACAAACCAAGGGCCTGAGGTGACGACACGGCGACTGACACAGACCCCACACGCCGCACAACTACATAATAAGACATCACAGGACAACCCCACACATACTAACTGAGCCTACGGACAACTCAGGTCAACTACCCCCAGGAAAAAACAAAAACAGATCGACTCAGGGAAAATAGGGGGTAACCACACGGTCACAGGGGCAAAATACTTGGCTCCCTCATGACTTAAGACTGAGCACATCCACACCAGGCCCATTACGACCTGAACCAACACACAAATCAAACACTAACCGGATTGGAACCCCCATACAAAGCCCCAGATGGTACCCCCCCAAAGAGTGACACACGTAGACAGACACAACACGGACTGGGACATAGCTCTATATCCATCAGCCTGGCACTAGTAACACGAACAAATCACCACGTACAACGCTGGGGACAAAGATGAACCGCACCACACGTAGACGGAGACTTCCACAACTCTTAAGTACCATGGGTCACACTAGACCCAATAAGTGAGTGAGGGGAAACCTTGCACTGAGCCAGCCTCTCTATTATGGTCCTACCTACAAATGAGGAAGCTCAGAGAACAACGCAGGGATACACATCTCCCCCTCTGACCTACGAGCACAACACAGAGCGGTTGAAACAACCCATCCGATAACACGCACGAATCTTGAGGATTAACCACAAACTCCATACACACCCAACCACATAGGGGACTAACCCCATACAGGGCTAACGACAGAACACAACACAAAAGAACGCTCACTGTTTTAATGAAGCCAAATACTCAAACACAATTTATTAACCAGTTGTTGAAACCATCTGGATGCTGTAATACTCATAACTGACCCGTTTATCTGTTACCACCTGTTAATTCGGATTGGATATTCATGCTGTGATTTAATATTGAAAAACGTAAATAAAGAATGTCAAAAAAAAAAAGAAATGCATCTTGGGGGTAAAAACCCAAGGGCAGAGTATATAATATTTAATACCCTACTATCCTTAACATCTGAGGAAAGGGATTTAGGGGTGATTATTTCTGATGACTTAAAGGTAGGCAGACAATGTAACAGAGCAGCAGGAAATGCTAGCAGAATGCTTGGTTGTATAGGGAGAGTTATTAGCAGAAGAAAGAGAAAAGTGCTCATGCCATCGTACAGAACTTTGGAGTATTGTATGGAGTACTGAAGACCGCATCTCCAGAAGGATATTGATACTTTAGAGAGAGTTCAGAGAAGTGCTACTAATCTGGTTCACGGATTGCAGGCTGGCCGCCCAGGAGCCCAGCAGCACCACTGGACCCCAGGGAATCCCCTCAGCACTCCAAAAGGTAAGGAGGCTGGGGGATTAAATTTAAAAAAAAAAAAGTGTGTGTGTGTGTTAGTGTGTGTGTGTTAGAGTGTGTGTTAGTGTGTGTCTGCTAGTGAGTGTCAGTGACTGTGTCTGTTATTGAGTGTGTGTCTGCTAGTGAGTGTCAGTGAGTGTGTTACTGTGTGTGTCTGTTACTGAGTGTGTTTGTGTGTGTCTGTTAGTGAGTGTGTGTTTGTCAGTGAGAGTGTATGTTTTGTAAGTGTGTATATATGTCGCTGAGTGTGTGTCTGTTAGCTAGTGTTTGCGTCTGTTCGTGAGAGTATGTGTGTGTGTCTTCAGCACTTACCTTTCTCCAGCGCCGGACTCCCTTGGCGCTGGGGATCCCTCCGCCTCTCAGCTCCGAATGCGCATTCGCGGCAAGAGCCACGCGCGCATTCAAACCGCCCATAGGAAAGCATTACTCAATGCTTTTCTATGGACTTTCAGTGTCTGAGAATCGCGGAAGCTCTGTGTTGCGGCCCCGGCCCGCGCAGAGTAAGCAGGGGGGGAGATCAATTTTGGCACCGGGGCTCCATGGGTCATGTGTACGCCACTGCATAAGTGGCTTATTTATATGATTTTGAGCATATTAGAGCCTACTTTTCTTGTGATTTTGGGTCAGTAGTGGTGTACTTTTTGAAGTTCTGGCATGGAAATATTTATTACACAGCTTACTATGCTCACTGAAACCTCATTGCCTCTTGCCACCAAGTTTTGCTGCAGGTCTTTTGTAGTCCCTTCAGGACTTTTCACAACCTGCCTTTTTCGAAAATCTGGTTACAGCCATTGATAGCTTGCATTTACTGCCTTGTCCAAGTAGTGTACCCACTGTTCCTTCAGCTTTGCATTCAGGAACTATGCTTCCAACAGTGTCTTTAGGAACATTCAGTGACTTTGCTATCTTTTTGTTTCATGTTCCTTGTTTGTGACGGACCATTTCTAACGTGCAGTCCTACATGACACTCAACAAACCCCTAACCATTTCAGGTATTTCAAATGTTACAGCACAAGCACACCCTGTGCAACTAAAGAAGCCCTAGTTGTGCCTCCGTCAATCGATGCTCCTAGTGCTCACCGAGTACACCAAGCACTTCACCAGACCCCATCAGCACTGTTGTCCCCACTTCCATCATTGTAGCTTGGTTGAGGTCTCGCTGTAATGCACCCAAGCCCAGGATCCAGCTTCCAGTGGGTAAACCTCTCTGTGACGAGACCAATCTCGCCACATTGCATTGGAGAAGCCTGGTTGCTCGCCTGCTGCCTTTGGACTATGGCCCCCTGTTAAAAGACATCTTTTTTACCTGCAGAAAAGCTTCATTCGTGCTTTTCTGCCTGGGGTTCGGTAGATTTGTTTGAATGTGTTATACCCCAGATAGGAATCCCATGGAGCCCATTCGTATGAAACTGACTGTAAAGACTTTGGCTCCATGGCGATTAAACTGTATTCGTGTGGTCTGAGCGCCATTCGCTTAATAATGTGCGCTCGGACCTGAGCTATCTGGGGATATGTTACATGTCTGTGTTTTATGTAATAAATGTGACTTTATGTATTTTAAAGTGTTTTGTGTCTTTTTGCAACCATGTGCTTAATGGAGTCTTGTGTCTGTCCTGGGAGATAATTGAATTACTTATCTCCAGGATAGAAGACTCTGAAACTGGTTTGGGCCAGAAAGCCATGCTTCATTTAGTCACAAAGGACTTTTTACTAACTTTTGAACCCCTGGTCTGATTCAGGCCATTTTTTAATATGTTGTTCCCCTGAATGGATTGATTGTGAATGTGTAATTTTATGTGAATGTGATGTATGGTTTTAGAGTTATGAAAGTTGGGTAGAAAGTATGTTTTAACTGTATGTGTAATTGAGTTTCCTCTCAGGATAAGGGGAGGGAATATGTGGGATGTAACTGTGATGTGATTGGTTGTTTTATACCTCCCTGTGGGCGGTCCTGTATTTGCAAGACTGTAATAAAAACCAGGCTGGGTGTGCCAGGACCTCAGACCACTGCTTGACCCTCAACACAGAGCCTTGTCTCGTTCTTGGGGGGATTCACTGTATGCTGTTAGAGACTGATTGCCAGGAGTGTAAGCTGCTTTTCCTGTTCGTCTGCTAGCAGCTATTTGGGAGGTTCGAGTTTGGGAGTTTGGTGTTCTGCAGTAGCTGTGCCTGTATCTCTGGAAAGGGGGCTGATCGCCTAAACGGTTTTTACCCCTTGTGTGCAAAACGGTGCGTTACAATTGATGGCAAGCGGCGGGATCGTTCCCACAGACTACAGGACAGCTACAGGCGACACCATTCCGTGGATTTACAATTTGAGGGCAACGCATGTCTGAGTACAGCGACCCTGACAGCAACAGCATGGAACCAGCAGTGTCATACGAGGAGGAGGACCTGGATGGCCGGGATGCATTAAGGAAAGGCATCTGGTACCAGGCCCTGGATAATGTACAGTACCAGCGGGGTGAGAGTCTCCCCAGTGAAGAGCAGCGGTTGCAGAAGCAAGTGGCCCTGCGGATGCCCTTCCTGGGAGAGCAGCCCCTAGATGAATGGGTGAAGGAATTGGAGCACCGGGTATGGCAGGAGATTTGGCTGGAAGATGCATACCAGGCGCTCTGGTGGTATGGGGCACAGTACCTGCCCTGGACAGCCGAGCATGACAAGCCAGAGGGAGGGGAGTTTGATGGTCCTGGCTTGTTATGGGAGGCTTTTTCAGAGCCTGAATTTGGGAGCCCTACACAAGCCCGGTTCAGTGATCTCTTGGAGTGGAGGGAGAGCAGGTATGACTGGGACGACACTCATGACATTGAGCAAGACCTGGCTCACCTAGCAACCCTGGAGTGGGAACTGGAGCAGGACTACCGAGATCTCTTCCACCCCATTGAGAAGATTCAGCAGGACAGCAAGGTGCCAGAGCCAGACCCATTCAGAGGGGACGAGATGGTACAGTTTTACTGGGAAGAACCCCAGGTGGCCGGTAGAGATGGGACCGAGGTCTCTCCACCGGTCCTGCAGGGAATTGGGAGCCCAGTCTCCATTCCCCAGCGGCAGTGTAAAGTGCAGGGAGAGGAGAGCAGTATCCTCCCTCCCCAGCGGCAGGCTGAGTTACAGGGGGCAGAGGTAGTTGTTCCTGCCCCCAGCAGCAGAGTGATATGCCGGGAAGGCAGTGTGAAGTCCAGGGAGAGGAGAGCAGCGTCCTCCCTCCCCAGCGGCAGGCTGAGTTACAGGGGGCAGAGGTAGTTGTTCCTGCCCCGCAGCAGCAGAGTGATATGCCGGGAAGGCAGTGTAAAGAGCAGGGAGAGGAGAACAGCGTCCTCCCTCCCCAGCGGCAGGCTGAGTTACAGGGGGCAGAGGTAGTTGTTCCTGCCCCCCAGCAGCCAAGTGATATGCCGGGAAGGCAGTGTGAAGTCCAGGGAGAGGAGAGCAGTGTCCTCCCTCCCCAGCGGCAGCGTGATTTTTTGGGAATTGGGAGCCCAGTCTCCATTCCCCAGCGGCAGTATGATGTTTTGGGAATTGGGAGCCCAGTCTCCATTCCCCAGCGGCAGAGTGTCCTACCGGGAATAGAGAGCCCATTTTCTTTTCCAAGCAGCAGGACTCTGTATTGGGAGCAGAGACAGTCGGTCTCCCTTCCCCGCAGCTGGAAGTATGTATGAGAGAGGAGCATGTTACCCCATCTCCCCAGCGGCAGCTTAATGTACCAGGGGGAGACAGTAAGCCCCACAACTGTGCAGATGGGACCGTAGTCTCTACACTGCCAGCACAGGGGGTAGGGACGGTCGGTTCTGCCCCCCAGCGACAGGGCTGTTTAGCCAAAGGGGAGACAGTCGGTCTCCCCCTCCAGCAGCAGAGATGGGTAACCAAAGGGGAGACAGTCGGTCTCCAGCAGCAGAGCGGTGTAGTTAAAGGGGAGACAGTCGGTCTCCCCCTCCAACAACCAGGCTTCAACCAGGCTACCCTCCCAGTAGCGCTGGCAACAGGGCAGAGTGCCGCTGGTCTCTGCCCACGCAGCAACCCACCAAGTCAGCGTACCCGTACCCAGCACAGCCGTGGTGAGGCACCTGGACATGGACAAGCTTCTCCTTTACCCAGGTGTAGTAACCATTTATTGTGGGTGGGCTGTGCTGTTGATTATGTTTTGTGGGTGGGCTGCTGGACTAACAAGGGCACTGACCGGCAGGAGGTCAGATACCCTGTTAGTCTGTTTGGAAAAGGGGAGAGATGTGACGAGACCAATCTCGCCACATTGCATTGGAGAAGCCTGGTTGCTCGCCTGCTGCCTTTGGACTATGGCCCCCTGTTAAAAGACATCTTTTTTACCTGCAGAAAAGCTTCATTCGTGCTTTTCTGCCTGGTGTTCGGTAGATTTGTTTGATGTGTTATACCCCAGATAGGAATCCCATGGAGCCCATTCGTATGAAACTGACTGTAAAGACTTTGGCTCCATGGCGATTAAACTGTATTCGTGTGGTCTGAGCGCCATTCGCTTAATAATGTGCGCTCGGACCTGAGCTATCTGGGGATATGTTACATGTCTGTGTTTTATGTAATAAATGTGACTTTATGTATTTTAAAGTGTTTTGTGTCTTTTTGCAACCATGTGCTTAATGGAGTCTTGTGTCTGTCCTGGGAGATAATTGAATTACTTATCTCCAGGATAGAAGACTCTGAAACTGGTTTGGGCCAGAAAGCCATGCTTCATTTAGTCACAAAGGACTTTACTAACTTTTGAACCCCTGGTCTGATTCAGGCCATTTTTTAATATGTTGTTCCCCTGAATGGATTGATTGTGAATGTGTAATTTTATGTGAATGTGATGTATGGTTTTAGAGTTATGAAAGTTGGGTAGAAAGTATGTTTTAACTGTATGTATAATTGAGTTTCCTCTCAGGATAAGGGGAGGGAATATGTGGGATGTAACTGTGATGTGATTGGTTGTTTTATACCTCCCTGTGGGCGGTCCTGTATTTGCAAGACTGTAATAAAAACCAGGCTGGGTGTGCCAGGACCTCAGACCACTGCTTGACCCTCAACACAGAGCCTTGTCTCGTTCTTGGGGGGATTCACTGTATGCTGTTAGAGACTGATTGCCAGGAGTGTAAGCTGCTTTTCCTGTTCGTCTGCTAGCAGCTATTTGGGAGGTTCGAGTTTGGGAGTTTGGTGTTCTGCAGTAGCTGTGCCTGTATCTCTGGAAAGGGGGCTGATCGCCTAAACGGTTTTTACCCCTTGTGTGCAAAACGGTCCGTTACACTCTCCTCCAAGAGAGTGTAGCAATATGCTCTTAAAAGAGCAAGTGATTATAATTCCAAGGGAGTACAGTGATATAGCAATCCCCAGAGTGAATATAGCTGTCCTCTCCACACATGAGACGAGGCTCTACGTTGAGGGTTAAGGTTAAAGGCTCTTAACATGTATAGCTTGGAGGAAAGACAAAACAGGGGGGATATGATAGGAATGTATTTAAATACATAAGTGCAGTGGCGTTCAAACCGGGGTCGCATGGGTCGCGGCTGCGACCGGGCCTGGCCCACCAGGGGGCCCAGCCGTCCTGCGACCCAGTATGTAGGCCACTGTGGTCAGCCTCTTCTCCTCAGGGTTGTTTATTGGTAGCCACAACTGGCTTTATTTGCAAGTGCCCATGCAATGGGCACTCTCCCCTGGACCCTAGATTAAACCACAGTAGAAACAAATACACAATTACATTGGCTACATAATGAGACAATCCCTCCCCTGTGCCTGGGAGATAATTGAGTCATGGACTGTACTAACTCTATTATCTCAAGACAGAAAAACACACATTTCACCAATACCTCTAAAGTACCCCTAAAACCCATGGAAACCCCATAAAAGTTACATCCTGATAGCCCCAATCTGGGTGACCAACATATCCAAAAATCACCCAGATCGGTTCAGTTGTTAAGGATTTCCATGGAAGTCATATTTTGACCGACCGCACGCATGGTCCCACGTAGTCAATACTCATACCGTGGAGCTTTTTCACCTCATTCAGATGAACTATTCTATCGAACAGCACTCTTCGAGGATGTAAACTACCGAACTTAATGAAGGTCCAGCGGTGGTCGGGAGTTTCAGTGTCCGAAAACAGTTCCATTAACTCGACAAGTGGTTACTGTAACGGACCGTTTTGCACAAAAGGGGTAAAAACCGTTTAGGCGATCGGCCCCCTTTCCAGAGATGCAGGCACAGCTACTGCAGAACACCAAACACACGAACCGCAAATAAGTGAAAGCTCCAAACTCCCAAACGGCCTCCAATATAGCACTCCAAATACACGAACAGGAACCATACGAATTGCTGCTACCAGACGAATAGGAAAAGCATCCAAGCGGCTTACACGCCTAGCAATCAGTCTCTATCAGCATTCAGTAAATCCCCCCAAAGACGAGACAAGGCTCCGTGTTGGTGGTCAAGCAATGGTCTGTTTAATGAGGGCTACCTGCCCAGTATTTATGCAGGTCTCCCACCTGGTGGACACTCCCATAGGGAACCAAATGGGAGACTGTGACAAGGGACAGACAAGCAGACAAATAGGACACACAGTCACAGTATATTCCCACAATGCATCCTGGCTTCCTCCCCTCTGCTCTGGGAGATAATTGAGAAGTAATTCAATTATCTCCCAAGACAAAGGCAAATCTCCATTATGCACGTGGGGATACTAAAACAAGCATTACTGTTAAAATACACCAGGTAAGACACATTACATTAAAACTATACATTTAACATATCCCCAGATAGCTCAGGTCTGAGCGCACATTATTAAGTGAATGGCGCTCAGACCACACGAATACAGTTTAATCGCCATGGAGCCAAAGTCTTTAATTCCATGAACAGGCTCCATGGCAGGCTATCTGGGTACTTGCACACCGAATACAATTGCAGCACTAAAAGTCCCGAATGCTCCGTTGTTCGGTTCCCGAACGGGTTTGCAGACTTCCTGCCTCAGCGGGGCTTGTAAGACAAAAGTGTCCGCTTTTGGTGTCCTGCCGCTCGGTAGAACAAGCACTGGCTACCCGGGGAGCTTTCATAACACCGCCATCGTGTGGCGGCTAGGTGTAACCGTGACCACCCAGTAATTGTCAATTAAGCTGCGGTTAACCGCAGCTTCAGGGAGGTTAATTGCCGGCACACTCCAGCTCCCAGGTGGTCTATTCATTCATTGAATCTACCGAACAACTGGCAGAAAAGCACGAATACAGCTTTTCTGCAGGCGAAACTAAGTCTTTTAACATGGGGGCCATAGTCCAAAGGCAGCAGGTGAGCAACCAGGCTTCTCCAATGCAATGTGGCGAGATTGGTCTCGTCACAGTTACTTTCGCCACAAGCTCAATTAAAAGTGTGTCATAGATCCAATCTCTTTGCCACATCTCTATCACAATGAGGTGTGTAGTGGAGACATCTTTGCAAGTCTTTTCGGGACCAAACACCATCTCACTGTCTTCACATAGGTTTCAAGCATGCTCAGACAATGGATAACCTTCTTGTAAGATTTTATACTTTTCACATAAATCATTTATGGTTAGGCCCTCTGAGCTTATCCAGTTTGTTAGGTTAAGGTCTGAGATAACTTTTTCTAAAATTGTAACATTAGTACCACTGCAGATTTTATCTGCCAATTTTGATATTTTTTTTTATCAATTTCCATTGATTCAAAGTCTGTTGTAAAACCACTGGAACATCTGGCTTATCAATATGGTCCTTAGGCTCATGCCATATTAGTAAATCAAGATTTCTTTATTTTGCTTGCTCTGATTCTGATTTGTACCAGGCTTCAGTTTTAGAATTGGTTAATTGTAGTTTATACAGTTGTGCTCAAAAGTTTGCATACCCTTAGAAAATTGGTAATCTATGAACCATTTTTAAAGAAAACACGAGTATGCAGGCAAAACACATTTATTTTATTTCTTATGGGATTCATATTCAACTGCAGGTTATAACAGAATGGCACAATCATAAAACAAAACATGGCAACAAAGAAAAAAATGAAATGATCCCTGTTCAAAAGTCTGCATACCCTTAGTTCTCAGTACTGTGTATGGCCCCCTTTAGCATTAATGAAAGCATGCAGTCTTTTGTAATAGTTGTCTATGAGGCCCCTAATTCTTGCAGGTGGGGTAGCTGGTCATTCGACTTGGCAATATGCCTCCTGGTCATGCAAAGTTTTTGGTCGTCTTACATGAACCACATGTTTGAGATCTCCCTAGAGTGGCTCGATGATATTAAGGTCAGGAGACTGTGATGGCCTGTCAGGATCCTATCCTGACAACCAAGTTATTATTCTGTATATTTCATGCAATACTTGTTTCTTGCCTCTAGTTGCCTCCCTAGCCACTAGTCTCCTCAGTCACCTAAGAATCCTCACCTGCCTGGAATAAGGAAGAGGCTTCATAAGGCTACACCCTGCTCACACTAGGGCCTTTACATTGCGAGAGAGAAGTTGTGCTCTGCTCCTGGTTCTTACTAAGATTTGTTATAATCTGATAAAGACCTGTACCTAACTCAACTGAATCCTGACATCCTGCTCCAACCTTACTTACCTGCAACCATCTTGATTCATCCGATTCAATTACCCCTGTTTGTTTCACCGTATACCCTGTTTCGGTGTTTAGACTGTGTAAACCCATTCCACGAACCATCAGGACGATGCATTCGTACATACGGACGACGGACCACCCGGCTCTTGGCGTGTGCCGCCACTTAACCTTTGTCACCCCTGAAATAACCGAACGACCGACCACCCTACGAGCGGAGTGTGCCTCTAATTGACCACCGGAAAGCTGCAGTCTGCGGTTAACCGCTGCCTAATTGACTGTCTCAGGGCAGCCTCGTTAGTGTGACAATTCACCGAACTGGAACTCACGAAAGACTCCCCAACAAGGGCTGAGACAACCATCCTCTGAGCGGGGTTCGCGCAACTGCTCAGCCGCTACTTGCTCGATGGGCTTTAGGTCCAGGTCCCGCTCTCTATCTGGCTACCTGAAAACATGGCCGCCATCTCGTGTTCGGGACAAAAGGCACCTTGTATTGAAGAAACTGGCTATATCGTGAGATCTGAGCGCTATTCGCCTATCTGTTGCGCTCATATCTGGGCCACCTAACGAATGGTTGAATGGAAGATGTGGCTATTAAAATATTAAAGTTATATATTTTTATACTGTTTTACATGTTAAAATAAAACGTGGGATTTTGAGCGCTTGGAGATAATTAAATTGTCATAACCGTTGGATTCATTTAAAATGATACATTGTAATGCCATTGGTCAACTGTTTGTATTGTCCCTGTATCCCATCAGGTCCAGAGGGGGCTGTCCCTGGACCTGGGGTCTTGCATCAATTGTCATGCCTGTGTGCCATTAAACTCAGGAACCAGGACATCCAAGCGGTCCAGCCTTCAGCTAGCTTGGAGGTAACCATAACAATTGGTGGCAGCGGCGGGATAGTCCTGGAATTCCTAGGAGAGGTACAGAGCGCTTATGACAAGCTGAAGCGCACCATGTTAAAGGACCTGCTAGAAAGCCGAGGTGGGATCGCTAGCAACCGACCTATGAGGGAGCTGATCGCAGCGCTGACGGAACTGGATCAAAGCCTGTTAATGACGGAGGCTCCGATGACTGCTAGTGACGAAAAGAACAGAATTGTCTGGGAAAGGCTCTCCTCTTTCGGCCCAAACCCGTCTGTGGAATTATTTCAACAAACCATGGCACAAGTGGACATGGAGATATGAGAAGCCAGAGCACACGAGCTCAACCTGGTCACCGCCCAGCAAAGCCCCGCTACAGTGCCGACAACTACCCCTGCAGAAATGACTGGGAAGCAGAAGTTTCCTCATGCAGCTTTCCGATCATTCCTTGAGAATGAGATGGGGATCGACAAATATCTGGCTGACTTTGAGTAGCAGTGTGCACTCCATCAAATACCCAGCGAGGACTGGCCCACCATATTATCTGGGAAACTGTCGGGCCGCGCCCTGGATGCATTCCGAACACTATCTTCCGAGGAGGTGACTCAATATGCCCGTGTTAAAGACACTTTGTTACATGCAGTAACTCCAGATACTTATCGCAGGCAATTCAGGAACACTAAGAAAAAGCCGAACGATACGCATACCGAATGGGCTCATAGGATGCAGAGGGCGACCGACCACTGGATGAAAGGATGCCAAGCAGTAACGGGTGAGGAGGTGTTACAATGATTTATTTTGGAACATTTTTATAACGGCTTAGATCAACAGTGCAAGGAATGGCTTCGTGATCGTAGACCTACTACCCTCACAGAGGCTTCTAGGTTAGCTGATGAACATTGTGATTCTCGGTTACACGAAAGCAAAAACTACCGAACAACATCCAGACCTGACTTCAGGTCTCCAGTACCAGCAGGACCTACCAGGCACACCGGACCTCCCAGTAGCAACCCTTCAGAACGTCCACGGCCAACCTGTTTCCGGTGCAAGCAACCGGGGCATCTCATGGCAAATTGCCCTCTCAACAACCACCACCAAACCCCCCGGAATTACAGCAACCCTACGGGACCTTCCTGGCCCGCTAGAGCCCTGTGTGTTAACCAGGAGGGTCCCATGGAGGAATACTTGGGACCCCTCCATGAGGCAGACCCAGTATATGCCGCCTTCGCCAACCGCCAACACCACAGGCAGAAGGTATGGCTCGAGGATCACCCCACCGAGGGGCTGCAGGATACTGGAGCTACAATAACCTTGGTTCAAAGCCACTTGGTGCCGGAGCACAAGCGTTCAGGACAGACTGTGGCAGTTCGAGTGGCTGGAGGTGATGTAAACAAAATACCTAACGCCAAGGTACATCTTGATTGGGGAACGGGAAAAGGGACTGTGAACGTGGGAATCATGGATAATTTGCCAGCGGAGGTGTTATTGGGCAACGATTTGGGACCTATGACATCTGCCTATGCACCATCCTATACCCCCGACACCCATCCGGTGACTACTCAAGCCCAAGCCAAGAGCCAGCAAGACCCCTCACCAGTGCGGGAGCCAAAGGTAAGACTCACTTCGACCCTGACTGCCCCATTAGACCCCATACCCTGGGACACCCCAACCACCTTTGAGAACGAGTCTAAATCTGACCCGACCTTACGAAAGTACATGGAAAAAGCCGAATCTGGGAGCGGGGGGATAGATAACGAGATGTTTATATGGGAGAAGGGAAAACTGTACCGTCTGACAGAGAAGAAGGGACAGCATAGGCGACAATTAGTAGTACCGTATAAGTACAGACAGGAGATATTAAGGATAGGACATGATATTCCCTTAGCTGGCCACCTGGCTGTATCTCGCACCCTACACCGCATCACCCACACGTTCTTCTGGCCTGGGGTACACGCGGACATTAGGACATATTGCAATACATGCGATGTGTGTCAGCGGGTAGGGAGCAGAGGCGACCATCCTAAGGCACCCCTGGTGAATATGCCCAATATAGAGGAGCCATTCAGCCGGGTTGCTATTGATTTAGTAGGGCCACTGGCTACCCCTAGCCCTTTTGAGTTTCTCTATGGATGCAAGGTACGGGTACTCCTGAACCTGATCTGGGAGCACAGGGAGAGGGAAACCGAGAATGCCGGAGTCCCCATCTTGCCATACGTGCTGGAACTCCGGGACCGAATGGAGCAATTAGCCTAGTCGGTTCAGGCTAATCTCCGGTCTGCCCAGAGGAGACCTGGGCGCCTGAGCATGGAGCTTTGCCATAGGGCAGAAGGTACTGGTACTCAAACCAGTCAAGGCTGACAAACTGCAGACCACCTGGCAAGGTCCTTACCAGATTGTAGAAAAGAAGGGGGACACCACATATGTAATAGCCAGCTGCCATGACAAAACCCTGAGAAAAACCTTTCACATTAATATGCTCAAGGAGTACCTGGAGAGACCAGAAGACGTGACAGCTATCTGCCTCCCCCCACCTGAGGACCCAGACAGTTTACCTATCCTAGACTTGCTGGAAAAGAATCTTCACCCAGACCTAGTGGCCCAGGTCCAGATAGGGGACCGACTGAATGACACTGAGAGAGAGCAGGTAAATCAGATACTCCACGCTAAACGGGCTACATTCTCCCAAGACCCAGGGTACACTCACCTAACTACCCACCAGGTAGATACTCCAGGGCATCAACCGCTGCGACAGGCTTCCTATAGAATCCCTGAAGCAGTTCGGGTTGGGATGAAAAAGGAGATTGATGAGATGCTCCAACTAGTGGTGATTGAGCCGTCCGATAGTCCATGGGCATCCCCGGTAGTTTTAGTGCCCAAGAAAACGGGGCTACCCGGTTTTGTGTGGACTACCGGAAGCTCAACCACAAGACACTAACGGACGCCTACCCTATGCCCAGAGTCGACGAGCTACTTGATCGTATAGCCAGTGGAAACTACCTAACTACCACTGACCTCTGTAAAGGTTATTGGCAAATCCCCCTGGCCCAGGAGGCTATCCCCTAGTCTGCCTTCATTACCCCGTTCGGCTTGTACTACTTTAAGGTACCGTTCCAGCGCTTGGTGGATAGACTCCTGAATGGCCTGGACGAAATAGCGATCCACAGTGAGTCCTGGGAGGATCCCTTAGCTCACGTAGGAATGGTCCTGGATCAGATTCGGGCCGCTGGCCTGACCCTGAAGCCAGAGAAATGCCATTTTGGGATGGCCGAGGTGTGGGAAGCAGCGGCCGGAGCCAGTTAAGATAGAAGCTGTCGCCAACTGGACCACTCCCACCACCAAGACCTAGGTCCTAGCCTTTCTGGGCACTGCAGGGTACTAGCAGCGTTTCATGTACTAGAGTACCATAGCCAAGCCACTGACCGACCTGACTAAGAAAAACCTTCCCCCGACAGGTCCTGTGGTCTCCCCACTGTGAAGCTGCTTTTCAGGCTCTCAAAACTGCTCTTGTGAACGCTCCCGTCTTGGCTGCCCCGGGGGGCCGTCCTCAGCCAAGTAGGAGAAGATGGAGGGGAGCACCCGATTGCCTACATCAGCCGAAAGCTCCTGCCACGGGAGGTCAGCTATGCCGCAGTGGAAAAGGAGTGTTTGGCCCCGGTGTGGGCACTAAAGAAACTGACTCCCTACTTGTACGGACAAGAGTTCACACTGGTTACCGACCATAACCCGTTGGTGTGGCTAAACCGGGTCTCTGGGGACAACGGCAGACTTTTACGTTGGAGCTTATCGTTACAACCCTTTAACTTTACCATCGCCTACAGACCCGGGAAACAGAATGGCAACGCCGACGGGTTATCCCGACAAGCAGACCTCAGTCCAGCCTAACCCACCTGTAGCGGAGCTGCAATATTAAATCCCAATATCTCCGCTGGTACGGAAAGTAATCCAAGGAAAGCGCAGAAAATGAAGGCAATATCCCAAATTCCCCAGTAACCGGACGAAACACAGTTCTGGGAGTCAACTGACGATTTTATTCACGAGCTCCAGTATTTATGTGGTTCCCCATGCAAGGGGTTTCCTTAATCACTTTACAGGGATTGTACAGTAGGGGACTACATGGGGAACTTAACATATAGAACGTTTCTCCCACCATGCACTGCTGTACGAGAGGGATACTCTCACTAGAATATCCTGTTAAGTGGATTATCCCTCCGTACAGCAGAACCGGCTTTTTACATAAAAATCCATAACTTTTATTTTATTCATGTCACTGTACCGAATGACCGTTCGTCAGATAGCTGGGGTCTGAGCGCACACTTCGTGAAAGTACCGCTCAGATCCCCACACAATCAGCCGAACGCCGCACGAAATATACTTTAACATACATTCATCATAAAAGCCACAAATACATAAGTGGGGAAAAAGTACCAAAAGACCAGCGCTCCCGAATGGCCTGGAAGTCTAGCGGTGTTCATGCCGTCCAGTAGCCGATTTTAGTTCAATCGGTTAATGGGAGCCACATGACCACCTGTGTGTGGGCTCCCATTCAGTACTTTATTTGTTTCACGAACAGTGTGGAAAGTCGCTGTTCGTGAAACTACCATATGAATGCTAGCGGCTTTCGGCCGCTAGCATACGAATGCTCTCTATTACAGTTATAAGCGAATACATTAACAGAATTGAACCAGCTTTTCTAGGACAACCTTTAGACATCTAACAGCATAATGTGAAGTGGCTAGGTTTGCCACACCACCGGTCTGGAGAGCCTTAGTCTGCCCTGAAAAGGGGTCAGACGGTGTCTGCCAGAGTGTTCCACTAGGAGGGAGCACTGTTACGGGAGCTTTACAGACTGTTACGGAATTACCCCTGTTTGTTTCACCATATACGCTGTTTCAGTATTTAGACTGTGTAAACCCATTCCACTAACCGTCAGGACTATGCATTTGTACATACGAACGACGGACCACCCGGCTCTTGGCGTGTGCCGCCACTTAACCTGAAATAACCGAATGACCGACTACCCTACGAGCGGAGTGTGCCTCTTATTGACCACCGGGAAGCTGCGGTCTGCGGTTAACCGCAGCCTAATTGCCTGTCTCAGGGCGGCCTCGTTCGTGTGACAATTCATCCAACTGGAACTCACAAAAGACCACGAGGACCACCTGCATCCTGACGTGTGGCCCCAATTAGAACGTTGGGTCTGCGGTTAACCGCAAGTTAAGTACCCCCCTTCATGGCGATCCCTGTTTGGCTCACGAAGGGCTGAGATAACCATCCTCTGAGCGGGGTTCGCGCAACTGCTCAACCGCTACTCGCTCCATGGGTTTTAGCTCCAGGTCCCGCTCTCTATCTGCCTACCTGAAAACATCTTGTTTTCAGGACAAAAGGCACGAATGGACCTTGTAATGAAGAAACTGGCTATACCGTTTGTGAGATCTGAGCGCTATTCGCCTATCTGTTGCACTCAGATCTGGGCTACCTAACAGATGGTTGAATGGAAGATGTGGCAATTAAAATATTAAAGTTATATATTTTTATACTGTTTTACATGTTAAAATAAAACGTGGGATTTTGGGTGCTTGGAGATAATTAAATTGTCATAAACGTTGGATTCATTATCTCCAAGCTGGGCGGTAACAATTTCAAATGATACATTGTAATGCCATTGGTCAACTGTTTGTATTGTCCCTGTATCCCATCAGGTCCAGAGGGGGCTGTCCCTGGACCTGGGGTCTTGCATCATTTGCCATGCCTGTGTGCCATTAAACTCAGTTCGTTTTGACCGTCAAATCGCAGCTTTGACTCATTTTGTGGGGAAAAGGGTATCCCAGCTGTACCATAGCTAGTGGGATTGATTTATAGTCACAGGATTCTCGTGGTATGCTGATCGGAACAGCTCTGTACTCTCTCCACATTCGGGAACCAGGACATCCAAGCGGTCCAGCCTTCAGCTAGCCTGGAGGTAACCGTAACATCCCCTTTATCTTTATTATTACTTTTCTCTGTTTATCTTGTTATTCATATTGTTTCCTTTATCTGAACCATGCCTGAAGAATCAAATAAACTACCTGAAGTAAACCCCGGCATAAGTCTCCTGTCTGACCTGTGCAGAATCATGACATGGCCACTCCAAAACCCTCACCTTTTTCTCCTTTAACCCCTTAAGGACACATGACGGAAATATTCTGTCATGATTTCCTTTTATTCCAGAAGTTTGGTCCTTAAGGGGTTAACCACTGGAGGATCAACTTGGCTTGTGCTTAGGGTCATTGTCATGCTGGAAAGTCCAAGAGCGACCCATGTGCAGCCATCGTGCAGAAGAAGGAAAATTGTCTGCCAGTATTTTCTGATAGCATGCTGCATTCATCTTGCCATCAATTTTCACAAGATTCCCCCAGCCTTTAGAGCTCACACACTCCCGAAACATCAGAGAGACATTTTAAATTGGTGGAGTTAGATAAGATTATTGGAACTTTTTTTTGCGATCCACGAAAAATTTAAGGAAACCTTTTATATCTCCAATGCTGTATGTTACCTGTCCTCCAATGTGTTTCTTGTGCGAAATAAATTTAGGCCTTGTCCTTTATCATGGTATTCTAGAAATATCCACTTTTGTATGGTGAATTTAATCCCCGAACATTAACAGATATCAATTTAACCATTTACGTAAAGAAGAAAAAAAGAATTATCCTGTTTGCGTTATAATTGGTCCATACATTCACACACCAGACACACGTACACCACATTTAAGAAAAGCCAAAAACGTTTCTTCTGATCTCTGGCATCGTTTCCACGGTGCATTCCTGAGCCTAATATCTAAGTACCCAAAAGAGTACCCATAGGGAGGGGGTTACGCAGGTCTTATTAAGTTTACCCAGGGGAATGGTCGAGGGAAGCGCTGTGACTAGAGATTATATCTATTGAAATTTATATACTTAATTAAATTATTTACTTTTCATCTACCCATTTATTATTATATCATTCAACAGCCCACGGGACTAATGCAGCCCTCATAACAATCTATTTGTTCTGACACATAAAGATTTCTATTTATACTATTGGGGCCCTTTCTTGGAGCCTAGCATTGCATAGTATCTCTCCCTCTGTACCCCAAATACGGTGTGGGCTGTGTGTGGTGTGCAGGCTGATTGTGTGTGTGTGGGCTGGCTGTGTGTACCCCTTATTCTGGTGTATAGGCTGTGTGTGCTTACCGTGTGTGATGTGTGCTGACCATGTGTGGGCTGTCTGTGTGTAGGATAGCTGTGTGGTGTGTGTGCTGACTTTGTGTTCTGGCTGTGTGTGGTGTGTGTGCTGACTATGTGTGGGCTGTTTGTGATGTGTGTGCTGGCTGTGTGTTGTGTGTGTGGGCTGGCTGTGTGTGGTGTGTGTGGGCTGGCTGTGTGGTGTGTGTGGGCTGGCTGTGTGTGGTGTGTGTAGGCTGGCTGTGTGGTGTGTGTGTGCTGGCTGTGTGTTGTGTGTGGGGACTGGCTGTGTGTTGTGTGTGTGGGCTGGCTGTGTGTGGTGTGTGTGGGCTGGCTGGCTGTGTGTGTGTGTGGGCTGTGTGTGTGGTGTGTGGGGGCTGGCTGTGTGTGGTGTGTGTGAGCTGGCTGTGTGGTGTGTGTGGGCTGGCTGTGTGTGGTGTGTGTGGGCTGGCTGTGTGGTTTTACCCTTTTCCTGTTTACGTTTTTGATTCCTGTTAGTCCAGTGGTGGCGCTTGCACCTCCAGTCCACGTAATCTCTCTTTCTGGTCCTGGTGCTCAGCGATAAGTCAGAGCGAAGGCTGGGGATTCTGGTGGCCACTCTCTGAGTTATTAGTGAAAGCTGAGCGGCCCTAGCCCCTCTCTCAGGCCCCCATGTACTGACCCTAGTGCTTGCCTGTGGCATGGCTAAAGGAAAATAACAAAACACTTGCCCAGTGTCTAGATATGTGTCCTGGAAGTCAGATGGTAAGAATTCTACGCCCAACACAGACTATGAAATGTATTATGTTTTATTGATTCAATCTTCTTCCTCTTTCAGTGTGCGTTTAGCCACGGTGGGCATTTATTCGCTGCAGTGAATGGCAATGTCATCCACATTTACTCCACAACAACATTTGAAAATGTCTTGAATCTGGAAGGCCACAGTGGGAAGGTAAATGGTATCTTGGCTTTACTGCCCCAGTTTGCATCTTGTACCACCAATTCTGTTACTGCCCCACTTTGCCTCCTGTACCCCTTATTCATTGTGTTACTATCCCAATTTGCCTCCTGTGCCCCTCATTCTGTGTTACTGCCCCAGTTTGCCTCTTTTACCCCTCATTCTGTGTGTTACTGCCCCGGTTTGCCTCCTGTACCCCTAATTCTGTGTGTTACTTCCTCAGTTTGCCTCTTTTACCCCTCATTCCGTGTGTTACTGCCCCAGTTTGCCTCTTCTACCCCTCATTCTGTGTGTTACTGCCCCAGTTTGCCTCCTGTACCCCTCATTCTGTGTTACTGCCCCAGTTTGCCTATTACACCCCTCATTCTGGGTGCTCTGCCCCAGTTTGCCTCTTGCACCCCTCATTCTGTGCTGTTCTGTGAATGAGTTCTTCTAATACTTCTGTTTTGTAGGTCCGATCTGTGGCCTGGAGTGCGGATGACAGTAAGGTGATATCTTGTAGCCAGAATGGAGCTGTTTATGAGTGGAACTCACTCTCGGGAACGCATGAATCTGAGTGTTTGCTTAAATCCTGCAGTTATACCTGCATGGCGCTTTCATCGAATTCCAAAACCATCTTTGTGGTTGGATCTGACCAAACTCTTAAAGAAATTATTGATTATCAGGTAACACTTTGTTTATTGACTTGGTCTAGTCAGTGCCGTCTTTAATATTGATTGGACCCTGGGCAAGTATTTGCTTGGACCCCCTGAACCCTGCTCCCCCACCCCTCCACACCCCCCCATTCCCTGGCATGCAATCACACCCTCTACCCCAACGCAGTGGCGGAACTAAAGTAGAAAGCACGCTGGTGCAAGAAATATTTGGGCCCACCATCTCAAGGTTGGCCAAAAGGTAGATCCCTATCCATCGTGCAACTACCAACAATGCTTTGAAAGCTGGGACTCTACCATTTTCCCAGGGTTGTATGTAGCACTAAGCTGTGTTTGTGTGTTTGAATGTCAGCATGTTTTTGTATGGAGTATGTTAGTGTGAATGTGGTGTGTTTTGGATGTGGTGTTGGAGTTTGAATTCAAGCATGCATTTATGTGTAGTGTCGGTTTTTGAATGTAGTAGTGTGTTATTATATACTTTTGGTGTTTAACGCAGAGGTGTGTTTGTATGTAGTGTTGATGTTTAGTTGCAGGAGTGTGTTTATATGCAGTGTTGGTGTTGAATACCGAGATATATGCACACATACACTGTGAAGCACATACACAAAGATACACATGCAGATATAGTGACACATACACACACATGCAGGTGAAGACACATAGACTGACACAAATACAGACACACTGGGGGGGCGGGGCCTGACCAGCATGGCTGACAGACGTGTGTGTGGTGAGCTCCTCACACAATCCTAACTAAACCGAGTACAAACAGAGATGCTACCCCTAAAACAGCACCAAATGAGATTGCACACTGAAAATAACTGCTGGGGAGCACAAGCAGACGACTCTGGAGACTCGTCCGCCGTCCTGAAGCCAAATACTGCATTTGAGGCCTATACAGGCGGAGGGACCCATGGAGGGAGGAAACGGCCGATCCTCCAACCTGGGACCACCAAGCAAATGCTAGCAACCCGTTCCCCCCCCTCTGGACCGGTGGGGGTAATCCCGGTCCCTGCTGGGGAAAAGAAAACCGAGAGCATCCCAACAACACATGCCGCTGCTTCCTGCTCCTGGGCCGCAACCAACATGGCCGACGGAGCAAGGGAACACCCTGAACCGACATGGGAAACTGGGTTTAATGCTGCCTTCGACAAGATATGTGCAACGTTCTGGGGCCAGATTGCAGCCCGGGCAGAGCAAACACAGCAGCCTATCACTTACACCACACAGCCCCAGGCGGAATTCCTATCAGCAAACAGCCCAACCGAACTAACACACCCAGCCATGCACATGGAGAATGTTGCAGTCTCTGCCGCATGCCCTTCTTCTGGGCCGGGTACTCACACGGAGGTACCTCTCCAACGCCAGCCATACACCCGGGGATTTATCCGAGAACTGGAAGCACCCCGGGCCCATGACCCTCAAAATAGGATCCATGGCACGACGGCACGAGTCCCATTTACAGCCGCAGGCCGAAGGCAGTTGGCACGCAGACTCCGCAAGACCATGAGCAGCCGGAAACGACCCACGCCCAGGCCGGTCAAAAGACCTCCTGCCGCGGAAGAATGTGAGTGGAACGGACAGGGCCCCCCATCATGGCATGAGGACCTGGCCTCCCAAGACCACCGCGCTATCCCGCCAGGCGGAGTGGGCTGAGGACACTCACCAACACCCTCTCCTAGACCTGCACAGAAACACTCACTGTACCTAGTGAACTAGTGATGTAACTTGCAGCGTGTAACTTAACATAGCACTGTACAGCCTCTGATTTATATCGTACAAGTACCTTCATTACTACCCAGGCACTATAGTCATAGGGGAACTAGATATGTTTTACAAGCATGAGATTCCTCCCCAGCAAGCTACTTAAACCACTGTTTCCCCTACTTATTTATCTACTCGGTGGCTCTTAAATGTAAAAATGATGCAATATCCACCAGAACCTAATCTCTGATCCCAGCAGATATCACACACTGCATATATAAGTTTCACACCTAAGACATGTTTAAGCCTGACAGCCACTATATATATGTGTACTATCCAGCACACAGGGTAGAATAAAATGTTCTGTTAAACCTGTTTCTATCTTGCTAACTAACCTACTTAAAATACTTGCCTACCCAACCTGTGCTCCACTACTCTAGCCTGTAACATTTCAAGATTTATATTACAGCATATAATGAAGCATGTCTCTTTAACACATAAAAAAGTGCAATTGTTTCTCATGTCATGGCACTGAATGCAAATGTTTGTCTACATTATCTACATTAAGCTTGCTGATGTTGTCGTGGCAATGCAAGCCTGTATGTTCATCTTTTGTTGCACACCAAAATAAAGATTAAAAAAAAAAAAAAAAATACAGACACACTGATACATATACAGACACACAGATACACAACTTGACACACATGCAGATTCTCAGATGCACTGGTACACACTGACACACATACAGATACACAGACACATATAATGACCCACATATAAATACATACACTGGTACACGCACATATACTGACAGACATACTGACACACAGGCACATATACTGACAGACATACTGACGCATACACTGATAGGTTACTGACACACACACACACAGATATACTGAGCCACACACTGGCAGACATACTGACACACACACAGAGATATTGACTGACACACACACACAGACACATACACAGACACAGACAGGCATACTGACAGACTGACAGACATACTGACACACACACACATACATACACAGAACGACTGACACACACACACAGACATACTGACCTTTTGCTTGAGTGTGGATTCCCCTTGGTCCAGTGTAGTGCCTGAGGCTAATGTGAGTGAGGAGCCCCCGTTCCTCCTCCTCCCTCCCGTGCGGCTCTGTGTGACTCACGGCTGTCACTTCCTTCCAGCTGGCTGCTGAAAAGCATGGGGTCCGGTTGTGCTGTTAAAGGGCCACAGGGTCCGACTGGACACCTGCTAAAATAAACCCACTGGGTGGCCCTAAGGGTATGGGCCTCCTTAGTGTGCAGGACCCGGCTGCATCGGCGGGCCCATGGGGTGGAGGGGGAATAAATAGATTAGGGCAGCTAATTTGGGCCCCCAGGAGTAACTAGGCCTGGGGCAGCTGCCCTGTTTTCCCTACGTTAAAGACAGCCCTGGGTCTAGTACTACTTATAGTAAGACTAGAGCATGACATTCATTATCAGAGAGGTGGCCAGATTACCACTATAACTCTCAGATAAGGGGTTACATTCCAGCCATGGCTGCAGCAGTGTTGGCCAATACAACCAGACACAGAGAGAAGAGAGAGAAGTGTGTGCGCCTCTGCTGTGATTAGTCCTCACGTCTCACTCTTAGACATTACAGAGGGAACTTAAACCAAATACTTATCAGACTGATCCTACTCACGAGGAAAACCAAGCCGCAATACCAGCTGGGTCCCATTGCAAAACGTACAGTGACTCAGATCTCAGTGAACTTTCAGTAGAAAATCCCAAACATCTATGAAAAATCTCACGTTTGTATGTTGTTTTCACTGCTGCCGCTCTAGTAATTAAGTCTTCTCGCTATCTCTATCTGGGAATTTGTCTCCTCACTATCTCTATCTGGGAATTGTCTCCCCGCTATCTCTATCTATCTAGGAATTGTCTCCCCGCTATCTCTATCTAGGAATTGTCTCCCCGCTATCTCTATCTGGGAATTGTCTCCCCGCAATCTCTATCTATCTAGGAATTGTTTCCCTGCTATCTCTATCTGGGAATTGTCTCCCAGCTATCTCTATCTATCTTGGAATTTGTCTCCCCGCTATCTCTATCTGGGAATTGTCTCCCCGCTATCTCTAGCTATCTAGGAATTGTTTCCCCGCTATCTCTATCTATCTAGGAATTGTCTCCCCGCTATCTCTATCTGGGAATTGTCTCCCCGCTATCTCTATCTGGGAATTGTCTCCACGCTATCTCTATCTGACAATTGTCTCCCCGCTATCTCTATCTATCTAGGAATTTGTCTCCCCGCTATCTCTATCTGGGAATTGTCTCCCTGCTATCTCTATCTATCTAGGAATTGTCTCCCCGCTATCTCTATCTAGGAATTGTCTCCCCGCTATCTCTATCTGACAATTGTCTCCCCGCTATCTCTATCTATCTGGGAATTGTCTCCCCGCTATCTCTATCTGGGAATTGTCTCCCTGCTATCTCTATCTATCTAGGAATTGTCTCCCCGCTATCTCTATATAGGAATTGTCTCCCCGCTCTCTCTATCTGGGAATTGTCTCCACGCTATCTCTATCTAGGAATTGTCTCCCCGCTATCTCTATCTGTGAATTGTCTCCCTGCTATCTCTATCTAGGAATTGTCTCCCCGCTATCTCTATCTGGGAATTGTCTCCACGCTATCTCTATCTAGGAATTGTCTCCCCGCTATCTCTATCTGGGAATTGTCTCCCGCTATCTCTATCTATCTAGGAATTGTCTCCCTATCTCTATCATTGTCCCCTGCTATCTCTATCTATCTAGAATTGTCTCCCCTTCTATCTCTATATCCTCTATTCTATCTAGGAATTGTCTCCCGCTATCTCTATCTGGGAATTGCCCCGCTATCTCTATCTATCTGTTCTATCTGAATTGTCTCCCCGCTATCTCTATCTATCTAGGAATTGTCTCCCCGCTATCTCTGTCTATCTAGGAATTGTCTCCCCGCTATCTCTATCTGTGAATTGTCTCCCCGCTATCTCTGTCTATCTAGGAATTTGTCTCCCTGCTATCTCTATCTGGGAATTGTCTCCCCGCTATCTCTATCTAGGAATTGTCTCCCCGCTATCTCTATCTAGGAATTGTCTCCCCGCTATCTCTATCTTGGAATTGTCTCCCCGCTATCTCTATCTAGGAATTTGTTTCCCCGCTATCTCTATCTGGGAATTGTCTCCCCGCTATCTCTATCTATCTAGGAATTTGTCTCCCCGATATCTCTATCTATCTAGGAATTGTCTCCCCGCTATCTCTATCTAGGAATTGTCTCCCCGCTATTTGTATCTGAGAATTGTCTCCCAGCTATCTCTATCTGGGAATTGTCTCCCCCCTATCTCTATCTGGGAATTGTCTTCGCGCTATCTCTATCTGGGAATTGTCCCCCTCCTATCTCTATCTATCTAGGAATTGTCTCCCTGCTATCTCTATCTGGGAATTGTCTCCCTGCTATCTCTATCTAGGAATTGTCTCCCCGCTATCTCTATCTGGGAATTGTCTCCCTGCTATCTCTATCTGGGAATTGTCCCCCTGCTATCTCTATCTATCTAGGAATTGTCTCCCCGCTATCTCTATCTGGGAATTGTCTCCCCGTTATCTCTATCTGGGAATTGTCTCCCCGCTATCTCTATCTGGGAATTGTCTCCCCGCTATCTCTATCTGGGAATTGTCTCCCCGCTATCTCTATCTGGGAATTGTCTCCCCGCTATCTCTGTCTGGGAATTTGTCTCCCCGCTATCTCTATCTGGGAATTGTCTCCCCGCTATCTCTATCTAGGAATTGTTTACCTGCTATCTCTATCTGGGAATTGCCTCCCCATTATGTCTATCTGGGAATTGTCTCCCTGCTATCTCTATCTAGGAATTGTCTCCACGCTATCTCTATCTAGGAATTGTCTTCCCGCTATCTCTATCTGGGAATTGTCTCCCTGCTATCTCTATCTAGGAATTGTCTCCACACTATCTCTATCTAGCAATTGTCTTCCCGCTATCTCTATCTAGGAATTGTCTCCCTGCTATCTCCATCTAGCATTTGCCTCCCCGTTATCTCTATCTAGGAATTGTCTCCCCACTATCTCTATCTAGGAATTGTCTCCCCGCTATCTCTATCTAGGAATTGTCTCCCCGCTATCTCTATCTGGGAATTGTCTCCCCACTATCTCTATCTATCTAGGAATTGTCTCCATGCTATCTCTATCTAGGAATTATCTCCCCGCTGTCTCTATCTGTGAATTGCCTCCCCATTATCTCTATCTAGGAATTGTCTCCCCACTATCTCTATCTAGGAATTGTCTCCCCGCTATCTCTATCTGGGAATTGTCTCCCCACTAATCCTATCTTGTATTTTATGGCAGATTGCCCGTGAAGTGCCGGCACTTGATGTGACATACACAGCCGTAGCCATCTCTCACTCTGGTCAGATGCTCTTCACTGGCACCACCACTGGCACAATCCGCTCCATGAAGTACCCGGTGACACAGTGCAAGGAGTACAATGAATATCAAGGCCACGCCGGGCCAGTCACCAGGGTAAGAGCCCACCCTAACTGCTCCAGGTTATTTTCAGCACCCCACTCAGGGGATAATCTAATGGTTTAGTAAATCTCTCTTTATTGTATCTCTGGTTCCTGTGTAGAAGTTACACACAATATTTATACAGCATTATTACACACTGCCAGTATTTATAGAATTATATTACCCTGCGTAATTCATACACTTTGACTACTTTTACAGCTTTATTACTCACTGTCAATACAATGCTATTTTAT